ACGACGACGACGGGTTGCCGTTTTGGGGGTGTTTCGGGAAATCCGTGCGGAACGAGCAATCACGCGCTCCCACCAGACGTCCCAATAGCCTGACGGCCTTTCTGGAACTCGGTAGCTCGATCGTGGTCCCTAGCTGCGACTCGACTTGCCACCGATCGAATACCCTGAAATTCGACCTTATCTCGACCCTACGCTTCGCGATTCCACCCGCTCGGGTATACCGGCTCGTCGCGAGATTCTGCTACGCCTCCGAACGAGCGACGATCTCGGGCCGACGATGGAGGTGGTAGGAAGATTCCTTGGAAGAAATGCTGCCGATCGATGTTCGTGTCGAGGTCACCGGTCTCTCTTCGAGTGCTCGAGTTGATTCAGCCTGAACGTTCGCGCTGTTGCACAGGGTCAGTTACCTCGGGGAGCTGGCACCTCGCGCCTTCTCGCGATATCGTCGTTCGTGCTGGCACACGAAAACTCCAGCTCGCGTGTTCCTTCTTCATGGAACGAGCAGAAATCGATCGTCCAGTCACTGTACTGTTCTGGAGAAAACGGCTAACGGACACGGTACGGCTTGAATTTCGACGCTCGTTTAATTTCTCGATGCGTTTATCGCGAAGGACGAGCCCCAACTGGTCGGTTACTGGCGGACATATACGTATTGATTTGCGAACGCTCCCCTTTCTCCGGCGACCCCCTGTCGCTTTTACAGGCTGATCCGGAAGACGCTTGCGCGAACTCCGGTGGCTAAAGTCGGTCGCCTGAAACGAGGATTGTGCACTGACACCGATGATATTGTCGTTCGATCGTGCATCGCGAGCAACGGTCAGAGGGGAAAAGTACAAAGGGGTCGAGATAAAGGAGTCGAAAGCTTTGACGCCTGCAAAAAAAACAGAGGAATATGTAACGTTTCAAAGCCCCAAGAATCCTTCTGCCGGATGAAAATGCATTTTCATCGTTCCAGAATGAGACGTAATCTCGTCTAGTCCCGTTTAATTTCTCGTCCGTCGAATGCCCCGAATTTCTCCACCGTTTCCATTTAGGGACATAAGTTTCGCCCTAGCATGACTAGACTAATTAGGAATTTTGTTATTACAGTTAACGCGACCAAAAAATGCGTTTCGAACGGGCAAGAAAAATCTGTAGAATTTCAAGCAAATTTTAGCGCAACCCGTAAGCACGTACTGTAGAAAATAAAAAGTAGTACAAGATTTATGTAGAAACGACTAGATAAGTGTCCGACCGAGGACCTAGAGAATCTCCTTGCGTCTGACCGTAATGGCTGTTACTACTAACGGAGCAGGTGATTGTTGCGAACAACAAGAGATGGAAGCACCGGACCCTCGCAATAAATTTATGCGATAGCTATTCCTGATAACGATTATGCGTTCATACAAGTTGAACAATTTAAACCAGATAAATGCTTCTATTAATTATGTAATTTATGCACAAAGTTTGAATTGCAAAATTTTTGCGATGTTAATACGATAAATAACGCAAGTCGTAAATTATGCAACCAAAAGTAACTATTACGTATATCAAATATTATAGCGTTAATAAATTGTTAGCGTCTATTTTCACTACCGTCCACATTAACCACACCATCTATCAACTTTTTCCGTTTAAATGATAACACCTGTGGTGCGTATCCATCGCAAACGTAACCTCTGATAAACGATTTCTCTCTTATTCGCGTGCGAATCTTTCTCATTGTTAGATACTTGTTCCCTTGTCAAATTCGTATGATAAATGCTCTTGGAAACGCGTGAATCAGGCGATTGACGAAGAACTCTGTCGTGGAACGATTTCGAGGGACAGGGGGTCATCGTTGTTGAATAATGGAAGGCGACTCCTCGTCGTAGATCGTTCCAGGGAAGCGGTACCGGAGTTGGATCTCATCCTCCTCGTAAATAATATATGACCAAGAATGTAACATCGAGAGCAGCTTCCATACGAGAAGCCTTTGTTTATCGACTTCTTAGAACATATACATTCTATTCCGTGTCTTTCTTCCTTCGGAGAAACGTATCCCCTTGTCGATCGTCAAAGATAGAATTTTTCGCGCCTGCGATGACACAGATGTTCAAATTTGCTAATCTCAGCTTGCCTGATTACAAGCCGTGTACAAGTCGTGCACAATGTTTATTCTTCATTATGCGGTAATAAACCTGCAACGTTCTATCTCGAGCATTATTTGCGCGGCATTATTACGGGTTGAATCTATTCATTTCCCATTACACTGTAAAGCAATATTACACCTTTCAGCTGTAATCTTCTCGCATGTATTCGAAATGAACATAGCGGAAAATTAGATGCGAGTAATATGCTCTGACGCTACAACTGGATTAGAATAAGAATGAATGAAGAGTCCATGGATCTCATCACGAGCAGGGAATAGCGAATGATCGACGAACAGATTCAATTTGTATCGCGAGCAAACGAGAACGATATAAAGCGAGGTACAAACGGGAGAAGGACAGACAAACAGGTGAATCCTTGTGATCGGATTGTCGTCATGCTCGACTGTGCGCACACGTACATAGCGCATACGTAGGTGTAAGCGGATCAAAACATGAATGAGGATCACAAGACTGTCCTAACGAAGCAGCGACAAAAACTGACTAGAAACGCGAGATTCTGCTGATTGGAAGTTGCTCTTGATATACCGATCTTTGTATGAAACGGGAATTCGACCGATTACGGCCGGGAACAAAGATGCCTGTACAGCGGAACTCTATTTATGCGAATTCTACTTGTTCGAGTCAAGTTTTGCTGCCTGTCTGCGCGCTGCGAGTTCAACGTTAGGTAGATATGTAGGAAGAAAAATATTTGACAGATCAGATTGCCGAGTCGGAATCTCAAGAATCTTTTCTTGAACCATGAAATTCAAATAGCTGCCTTCCTTTCGTACAAACTATAAGCAGGGAAGTGACGGCTTTAAAAGTATTCTAATCGTAAATTTAATTTTCTTCCGTATCTAACAGGCAGTTCGTATTTAATAGTCGTCCAACGTCGTCGATACGAGCTATGACGTTGTTGTTTCATATTTGCTGCGTATCGTCTGAACCATAACGCGATGCCCTATTGTTTACCCGCGAACTGGTAAATCGCTTTAACGAACACAAACAGGGTGTAATTACGAGGACAAAAGCGATCTAGGCGCGAACACTTGAACGTTGCCTGTTCTCCGCCATTAATCTTCCTTTACCTTTATCCCTCGTACTCGGTGCTCGCGACAGCGAAGCCGATTAAATAGCCTTACGGAAAATGCGAAATCTCGCGTTGCAATTTTGCGTTACAGAGTATTTCGTCGCGGACGAGGCTAAAATATAAGAGGTGTCATAACTTCCATCGTGTCAATTACACTCGTGTTTAATTAGAGTTCCGTCTAGTGTTAAATTATGTACAGACTCGCAGGCCCGAAGATGACTTTGATTTAATGCACGGAGGTGCTCGCAATTACTTATCTCCTTGGTCGATAACGCTCCTTACAAAGATATACAGGTTATCCCGAAAAAGAGGTAATTAGGCAATCAAGAAAGTTCCCACGAAATTTCAGACGCTCCAACACAATAGACTTAGTCGCGTCGCTGCGATCGCGATCTCAGATTGTTCAAGAGCCATCAGCAGTTTAAGAGCAGTTAGTTTTATAAATAGTTGATGATTTACTCTACTTAAGCTTCTCCCACCGGAATAATTGGTTCAATCAACGCCAGCCGGCAGCCGTTCGACTTCGTTACCTAATCCGAACCTGATTCAAACTCGTGTCCAGTTCCGTTACGCTTCCCAAAAGTTCGGATCCCACGGAGGTGTCGTAGTTTCGACCCCTTTAACGGCTGTAGCTTGAAGGACAGATCGACAAACCGGAATACAATGAACGTAACAGACAGGAGAAGGCGAGAAGCAGAGGGTAGGAAAGGAAACTAGCCTCGCTAAAGTAGATTTAAGAATCGCATCCGCTGTTGCTCGCCGAAGTCGCCTGCAGCTTGAATAGAACTCGGAACTGTGGTGAAGACAAGGGCCATTATGTCGGCACGTAAAGCGACGTCAGCCAAAGCTCGAGTGTCCGTTCTTTCTTGCATCTCCCGGCCGACTTCCATTCTTTCTCTTCTTCTTTTATGATGTCGCGCTAGTTCGTACAGCAGCACCTTCATCCAGTCGCGCCCTTCGTTCTGTTCTTCACCTATTTTCTTTTTCTTTCTGTTTCATTGACCATGGACTCGGCCGTCCTTGCTAGGTCAAAACACAGTGTATTCCCACACTCGTTCACTATCTACACCTGTGAACCTTTCAAACTTCCCCCGAGTCTCTTTTAACAGATGCATCCCCATCGGAGGACGTTTCTCCATTTACCGTATTCGCGCTGGACGCTCGTAGAAGAACCGTAATTAAATTTGTCGAGCGTAATTGCTTCGAAACCAAGAAAAAAAACCTCCCGCTCCTTCGACTTTGTGCCGTGACAATTGTCGGGTCGTTTCGAATGCACGGCTCCTGAAACTATGCAAATTTGTACGGTAGTTAAAATTTCTTCGCGATATGACATAATTAAACGTGTTTTTTTAACTTTCGAAAGTACTCCGCTCGCCCTTTACGCAAGCTTTCTTTACGCTTACGTCTACGAAGATCGATCGAGTTTGTTGAAAACTTCTTGCTTTCCTTCGGTGGCTGACAAATTACAACTTCGAGCCTTGCAGCTTGCGAAAAGTCACGCTTCGTCAATGAAATTGGCCAACTACCGATCGTCGATCACTCTGTTTGCATTGAACAGGTTTTTCTCGTAGGTCATACAGGAAGACATTACACGCTTAACCTTGTCGCATCGTTTCAGAATCACTACGGTTAAAGCGATTTTGAGCAGACTACAACGGATAGAGATTTCTTCCTATATTTTTTCCCTTATCCTCGGTTCGAAAAATGATGTGTCATAGAAATGGCTCAGGTAAGCCAGTGTGATAAGCGAGAGTTAATATCGCCGCATAAGCGGCAGGTGTTTTAACGAGACGAGTTAACTTATGTGGTAAATAAATCAAGGCGAAACGTTTAGCTCTTAAAACTGGAATAATCGGATGAATAATGAAAGGATCAGTTTTTCGGAAGATCCTTTGCGAAAGAGCTATCTGCTGCGGAGGCAAACACATGCATCTTCCCGAGACGGAGCTCGTTATCGTAGGTTGCCACGAAGTTGCTGTTGCAACAACATAGGCGCGAAGAATGTATATCGTTGGTATCTGCATCTAGCGTGTTCCAATTCACGCTACGTTTGATAAACAATAAATTATGCCAACGTTTTCCGTTGAAAGCGGAACAAAGATCGTGTTCAACAAGTGTAGCATGCGAGAAATTGCTTTCAGAAAAGATGAACTGTTTACGATGAGCTCTTTCACGTGCTATTTTTCTGTAGCTTGTATATTTTCGAGCTAAATCTACGCGAACGGATGAATCTTTTTCTGCGAGATATAGAACAACGCAATTTTGAACCTCAAACAGAAAAATTTTCTTCTCGTACGATGAAATCGGTACACATTTTTTTGTCTTTTGCACGTACGAATATGATTTATGAAGGTAACGCAAAGAGGCTGATAAGAAGGTGCGGGTAAAGAAAATGTGAACAGGATGTAATCAAAGGTACATCTATTCTGCTAGGAAAACGACTTCCGTTCGAGAGTGCCGTAGAAGGGAGTTTGACGAGGAATACGCGTAGTTCGAAGGAAGATAAAACCAAGGACAAGCAGGAGAGGGTTGAATCGACATGTTTACGTAACAACTGGCTTGATCGAGCCAATTACTCCACGTCACGTAAGAGTTTCTAGGTTTCGGCCTTAATTATCCAGCCTGTCTCGCAAAATTCCAAAATACATTTCGACGGGGAAACGCGTAGAAAAGAAAGGTAAGCGTTACTTTGTTATAAATCGCTTACCGTTCTTGCTTTCATCTGACGGAACGAAGGTGAGTTAAGCGTAAAACGATTCCGAGTTTTGTTAAGTTTCTTCTCGTTACAATGGCGATAGAAAAGCGTGCTGGGTGATGAATGAACCTCCCTAAATAATACCCAACTTTGACAAGAAAGAAACGAGGACAAGCACTTCCGGGCAAGGACAAAACAATAGGTTCTTCTTTGTTTCCAGAAGACCAGCGTCAGAAAACGTGAAAGATAAGAGTACTGTACATCCAAGCGTATGAAGGGTATATTGACGATTCAGATTTGATCGCGGAATCTCTGCGAGGCTTTAAATTCCGACATCGTCGAATTTTGCAGGATCGGAAACGCTTTCGTGCCGCTCGATCTTCGATCGCCGGTTGCCGGATTATGAATGCAACCTTGAAGAAAAATTCTCTTCCTGGCATGTCGCTGGAACCGCGTTCAAGCAAATGAGTTCAGTGGGAATTGCTCCTTAAGGGGCAAACAAGATTTACGTCGGAAAGAGACTTAATCGAGCACGGAGCATTCCTTTTTCTTAACAACGTTTCGTTCGCCAACATTTATTTTTCGCAGCAGCCAGACAAGATACTTAATTTCGTGGACCTTCGATTTCCACCTCGATAAGAAAATTAGTCTTAGCGTATCGTTCATTTATCATCGGTTAGAAAATTACCAAATAATCAATCAAGCGTCAAGTTTTTCAGACACGTCACGAATTATTTATTCGAGGGCAAAATAATTTTTATAAGATTCAGATTACAAAGTTATCAAACTTTCCGCTCGCCGGGTAAATTCATTTCACCGATCGCACAAGCACGTCGTGTAAAATATGGTTGGGAAAAACGATACCTGCGTCTACTTTGCTTCCAGCTCGGTAATACGACGCACGAATGCCGTTTGAATAGACTGACGCTATCAAAGTATCGTATCATGAACACTCGACATGATCCAATAAAGCGGGACCTCCTCATAGCGAATCTTTTCGTCGTAGAATTTTTATCGAATACAATAGTAAGGTGTCAGTGATATTTAAAATGTAAAACCACTCGAAACATATCTGAAAGTACAAGATCAATTTTGTCATCTTGTTCAACCCCCGTAACAAACGCGATCGAACGACTTTCTATGGTTTTGTAGTCATCGAAAGTTGAAATCGAAGAAAGGAAAACTTTGAACAAAGTACAAATTACATCGTTAGCTTTCGAGAGAATCTCGAAGATTCAGCGCGCTTTAAATGTCACAGCAGCACGTTTCCTTACGTTTTCCCGCTTAAACGTGCGAAGCGTCGCATTCTACGGTTAGCTCTACCTCATCGGTAACGTCTAGGTAATTTAATAACGGAGAGGATCTCATGGATAGATGACGTCTACAAACCAGCAAAGCAAATTGGAACTGCTGCGAGTTCGTAGCTGCCGCGGCATTGAACACAAAGCCACTCTCCGATGACCCAACATCTTGTCTCGTATTCTGGGTATCCTCCGGAGAATCCAAAGCAATCGCTTCGTACAGTCGACGGAAGTAAAGCGGTAACGTTCGATCGATCGACTGTCCATGACATCGGAGATCAACTTCGAACGAATTGTGCCCCGTTTTAACGCTTTAACTATTAACACCACCTATACCGGAATTCTCGGCAGCGGAGTCTAAAGGCGTTTCACGATAATCGCTTACCGAGACATCCTTAGACGTCCGTTCGTTAACGTAGAAAGCGTCTTTAGAAGCGTCTCTATTACACTTTTCGAAGCGGATGGTAGAAGACAAGGATTAAGTTCGCAAAAGAATCGACGATCGATGGATTACATTACTGGACAGTCCGCATTAGCGAAATCTCGCAAGAACGAGCAGAGATTACGGTTTTCTTCAAACGGAAGACAAGTTAAAGCTCGGATTTGCAAAATGGTATTTAAAGCGGCGAATCTAACGGGCAAATGGAGCAGGTGCTCGCGGTAATTAAAGTCCGAATGAAAATTTATTCGCCAAGTGAAACTTGCACAGATTCGGCGATATTCGTCGAAAGCGAAACATTTAACTAAAGAATCGGGCATGTACGTTCACTGGTAAAAATTGAAAAGTTCAATTTATTATCTCGACACGATTCTCCCTTTCGGATCGTAAGTTGTCTCGAAAGCAAAGGTTATATTTTAGAATTAAAAATGACACGAATTCAAGTTGAATATGCTCGAACGCGACGTGACATTTAACTCGTGTATGGAATTAACTATTAGAAAACTAGGACTCGCAAGTAGCTACGCGAGATTATTTCAGGCTTGACCGTAAAACAAACGATCAATTGAAGTTTGTAATGTCGTTAGCGAGCGTACGGTAACCAGTTGATAATATGCTTACGTGCTTCGGCAACCGGGTTGCACATTTGCATCTCCGACACGCGGCCTAAGACACGAAGGAAATTGTGTTCGCGCGGTTTCGAACAACGTAATTTATTCAAGCTACTTTCCCCGGGAGCGACCGATGCTCGTTCATTTGCATATAAATACACATCGATACGCCGACTAAAAACACCAGCCGACATTCCAAAAATTTTCTCCCCGTTTGCGCCTGTTAACAAACGCAACCGCAACAATTTTTGCGCTCTAAATGAAAGATCGAACCGCCATTCTATACGGCTCGACGGTTGATATTCGTTCCGGAATCGTGGTAATTTATTCGCAGGTCAATCCTCAAACGAACCAGATTGCATTTTTTGCGTCGAAAGGTTAAGAGGGAAAAGCTTTCAAGATGACCACGAGGATCGGGACGTCCCTTTGAACTCTCTTCTTCATACTTTGTCCTCTCTCTTTCAAATAAATCGTTCGATAGCAGAAGCAGATGTGATTGAAAGCTGTGGAAGAACGAGATTAAAGAAACACGAATTATAAGTTGCTCCGTCTCTAGCCGGTTTTCAGTCTTTGGAGAATAATGCAGTACAAACGAACGCGCAAAATTTCCTTTTTCAAAGGTGGGAAAGTTTTAAAGCGTGGAGAATCTAACGTTTATTCTCTGAGAAATTGCAAAATGTTCTAAAGAAAAGGAGGAAATCTCTTCCTTGCCGTGTCTCTTTATTCGAAAGAAGGTTCTACGGGAAAGAGGGTGAAAAAAATTATCCAACTATCCAGTTGGATGGTTGAAATATTCGGAAACAGTGGACATCAGGTGGTCGTTTAACGAACGAAAGGTAGCCGTTCGAAGGAAAATACAAGAGAAACGAGCGTCTGCGCGTTACTAGGACTGGCTGTCACGAGAACTCCTGTAGAAGACGAGGCTCGCAGAATTTCGCCGAGGCAACAGTGCGCGGACCGCCTGCACGCGACGCGGTTGCTTCGACGCGACACCCTCGACGCTCACGTTATTGCCGCCACGAACCATTCGAAACACACTCTATTTTGCTCCATCTTGACAGCCCTTGATTCGCAACAATCTCGAGAAACAAAAATAATTCTACGAAGTATTTGTGTAACATTTCCTACCGATCGTCTTCGTATTTCCTGACGAGTCACTGGACACTTCCACGGCAAAATCTTCACAGCGCGAAGACAATGAGCCGTGAATAAATAACCAGGAGTGCTACTTCGCTCGGAACAAGCAAACGATCAGATTATGCAATTGCGAGCACTGGCAGACTCGTGAAAAGGGTGCGAAAGACGTTCCACGCTTATCTAAACACGCCGGATTGCGATCGCGAACAATCAGAGGCGTTCAGGAGAAACTAATCGAGATATTTTTTTAATTGATTTTTCCCGATTGGCCGAACGAAGTGCATATATTTTGCAGACGTATAACATTAGGAAATACCGTAAAAGGGATACCGACGCGAGTTGACATAAAGACAAGTCGACGAAGAAAACGTAAAAAATTCCTGCGACTGGAAAGTGACACGTTTATTTAAAAGGATTCGAGGGCGAGGTTATTCACAATGATCGTGTTCAAAAGGATCATCGACATCGATTTTGGTCGAACTCGGTATTGAAGAAAAATGCGACGTCCGAAACAACGTTACACGATTTTACGGTAAATTGTACGCTTTTATATCGGCTTTTATCGACTCGTTTTCACGAGTATCGAAAGCTCGCGGTTGATAGTTTGGTTGTCGCGGTAGGTGTTAATTTCGTTTTGCCTTTCCAACCACGACCAATTGCTTTATTTTTCCATATAAAATTGTAAGCCTTTTATTTTATCAGTTTTATTTTGTCATTCCTTTTAGTTTCTTTTTATGACGTGCATGACATCGCCGCTTAATTTGCGTTAATATAATGACCGCCCTTATAAAATTATAAGACTGTAAATATTAAAAATGAATTTCTTGTAGTCGATGGGGTGGCCAAACTGGTCGACAAAAAGAACGAATACAATAGTTCGGTATCGACTTTCCAAAGTAGTAGTATATTCGCAAAAAGTACGGCGAAGATTCCTTTATTTACAGTATGCAAGTTTACGCTCGGTGCTGCATATCTTTCACAAAAGAGTATTTATAAAGGTTAGGAAGAAAGTCTGATGCCGCGTGCAAATTTAAGGAACTTTGCCGGTTGCCTGTAATCTCCGGTCGAGAAAACCGTAACTTTCAACATTTATATTTCTTCTTTTATCTGCGATCTTTATCGCGGAGTGAATCGACACCTCTCCAACCTTACGATTTTAATTTTCCGATAATTCGTAAGATCGTTGAAGAACCTTTGTATAGTTCGCGATCGGCCAAAGGATCCTCGAATCTTTCTCTCCTCTTTCAAGTGGGGTCTAATAAAAAAAGTCAAACGATTACGAAACTGCACGCGAAAGATTGACAAACAAAATAAACGAGTAACAAGCGGGACGAGACGAAGCTTTTAAGGCCGTGGCGACCCTCGATGTCTCCCATTAATTCTAATAAATGCAATCGATTAAGTTGGACCGCGGATCGCAACGTTACACGTACGTGTTCGTCATTGATGCATAGTAGTCCAATAAAATATGTACACGCTTTATTGCCACGTAGATTGATAACATTGACTGGTGTAAATTTCTCGCCGAGTTCGTTCAAAAAATCGTTAAACCTTGTACGGATTCGGTAATCCGATAATATGGATTATTATCATTAAATTCGCATTCTATCCTTCGATTACGTTTTTGTGAATCCCACTGTACACAACGATCGTTACAAAATTCATTTGGCTCAATTATCTCCATTCGTGGTTATGCACATTATCATCGGCCCTGTATTATTCCCTGCGAATGCATATTTAATACTCTTTCGATTGCGAATTGGCATTTAAAGCTTCGTACGCGCACCGTCTATAAACGCCTCGAAAATTTACCTCGCAACATTCTCTTAACGTTTCCGCGCAATTTCCCCGAACGTTTTATCAAACTGCAAAGTACTTTATCACTTTCGCAAATCGTTCCGACGACAAGGCGTAATGAGTTCGAAAAGTGACCGGCGTAATAGGAATACTTTGGTAACAATGAAATTCGATACTTTAATTACGGCATTGTCGAGCCGGAAAATTACGGCTACCGCGCAAATCCACAATCGGCAAAAGGTGAAAACGGCCGCAATAATTTATGTACTAACAATCACGATGCGTTCTGCTTTGCTTCGTTTAGACGCGATATTTCCAGACTGATTTTCAGCGAATTTCCCAGGAAAGAAAAGTAGAACGCGATCGCTAGGGAAACTCTCGGCAAAAATCGTGCAGACTTAACGAACTTTTGCAAGATTCTTCTCTGGCGTAAAGTAGATTGCTCTTTTCCACGACTTCCAATCTCATCCCCGTTCTTCCTTCTCAATCTCGATATTGGTCGCTCTGGTTATTTAAACTGTAAACCGCTTGGTAACAAGCGTTAAAGATCGTTCCTTCGCGTACTCGTGGAGAGCAGAATGGAGAAAGAAATTGAAGATCGCGTTAATGACAGGTCGATCGGACATAAAAAAGTTTCAAGCGTATTTTCTTAAGCGATATTTATTTTGAATAATTGACAAGGTTTTACTCAAATTATGACTGTAGATATTAAATATTTAATTATGACAGGGTCCAGTGACGAGGTACCTGAAAACTTTACCGACGGAGGGTCTTTTTATCTTCGCCCGCGCAGAAAATTTAGGAGCGTTTAAAATGCATAACGCAATCGAAAGAGCTACCCGTTTTCGTGGACGTAACTTTCCACGCATCGTTCGTGGATTGCGTATGAATCCTTATTTCGATATCCCGGGGGAAACGGAATATTCTGTTTCCAAACACGCGGAAGCAATCATATTCCCCGCATGATCCACCGGCAATACGGATATTCAGTTGAAAACTTATTTTCCCCGCAAACCTCCAAGAAATCGAATTCCCTGATTTCCTCAAACGTCTTCCCTTTTCGTTCGATTCGTCGAAGATAATCTGGAGCCTAGATCGATTAACGCATCGACTATAATCAAGAAAATTACTGCAGCGTTACTCGACCGTCATAATCTCGACTCTCTACAGACGGATAAGACAGATTCAAGATTGAATCATGAGTGACTGGACATTCTCGGTCCGAGGATTAACCAGTTTTCGCTCGTATATAATTCTCCTTCGACACGAGGGTCGTGTTGGGAAACTTTCAGGCCACCATGTCATAAACCTAAAAAAATCTGACGGTCATCGCTGGCACGATTCTAATTTATTTCGCGATAAATAGTGTTCTGAAAATCGAAGACGCGAATGTATCGGTCCATTGTACGTGTGTGTCACCTTTTCATCTCCGTCGCTCTCTATCGTACCATTACTTCCTGTCCTATTTCTTCCGTGGTGTTCCTCACGGGGACGCAGGTAGCATAGAGAAACAGGGTTTACGTGGCGTGACGGTAGGTCAGGGGGTTGAGAGGTCTACCCATACAAGAGATTTCCAGCATCCACCCTTCTGTCAGACGAGTGTCTATCGAAGACGTCGATCCACCCTCTCTTTGGTTCGACATGCCCGAAATAAAAGAGTGGGCGGGATTATGCGAATCAACCGGGGATACCGATAACCGGAAATGCGATTTACTAGGTTTACAAAGTTCTATTATTCAAATGTATGATCTTGAAGGATATTAAAAACGCCTAATAACTGTGAAAATGACTATATGTATGACTATGAAAAATTAATTTTTTAATCCCATGTTTAGTGCCTCGGACTATTAGCGTAATTTTGATAGTACTCGGAATTCTTCCCGTAAATGATGCATATTTAACGCGTTAACGTTTTTATCGCGACAATCAGACAATCCAACTCGTGACCGTTGCATTTAAGTATTCATAAGTTCATTTCTATTCATTTCACTTTCTTCGTCTTCGAAACTAATCTAGACCAGGGTCGAAACATTTGCCAACAAACAGATTAATAATTCATGTTACCGCGTGTCTTACCGAAGATGACAGATTTTACCGCTACGATCAATGTAGCACTAATTCTCTTTCGCTAAGGATTCGAACACGGCGTTCGAGACGTCGGTAATCCGTATGACAGTCAGCACGATAATTTCGGATCTCGGTGGTGTAACGACGTGTCTTTTTCGTGAAACTCGAACGCGACACGCGTCATTCTGTCAAATATTTCACGCGCGACATCGAAAAATCGTTAAAGCTTAAAAGAAGCGTGGCTGCACAGCAAGCTGAAATTCGACTGGTACTTTCATGCATAATAAAAGAGCAGATGAAATATCGCGTGACAGATGCTTCCATGTCGCCTGCCGGGGAACGAGTGGGTCATACCGTGTAAAACAAGTGCTCGCTAAATAGTTAGAAAGTCAATTACGTTAAAACGTCGAGAGAGAATATTCGTCGAGGAGGAAGACATTAACTTGGCGAACATTGCGTTACGCAACCTGGATAAATTAAATCTCATTGTTTAATCGGTAGCGTCGTTTACGCGTGCTCAACCCATTTGAACAAGGTCAGAAATTTCGTCGACGTTGCGATAAAAGGGTTGTCGTGGTTAATTATTTCCTCTTGCTGCTCGTACACGGATTTTCTGTTCGAAAAACGGAGGGAATCTCGTGCGATACGATTCTCTGCCAGGGTATTTATTGTTGTTCAAGCTAATAGGCGCTACTAGTTTCGTGCCACGAATAAATCTGCCGACGTTTATTAATCGCGATAAAGGAGACTGCGATGAAATACTGCCGATATTGTAGGATTTAGCCAACTCGAAAGCATAAGTTATGGCGTTTATATCACCGCGCAAAAGGCAGATTGGTAATACAGTACGCGGCATGGTTGATCGATAACACTTTATTCTTGCTCGTAATATTTGAATTTATATTTAACCTCAAACGTGCTCTACGTTTTCGCTACTATTTTTACAAGAATCGTTCGGCAACAAGGGGAAGCGTTAAAGAAAATTTAACGTTTCTTCCACGGGGGTTTGAACTCTCGCGTAAAAAGGTTCCCCTAGCAATTTACCGCGTGACTGGATGATTTATGCTCTTTTAATTGCAATCAGTTCTTACAATAGAGCACGTAAACTGGCTCGGAAATCTATTATTCAATATTTTTTAAAATATTGATCGTCTCGGTTCGCTGACTTGAACCAAGTTGAAATCAGAATAAAATAAAAAACTATCGCATAAGAGAGAAAAGAGTAGCAGAACAGTTTAATACATCGTCGTTGAATTTTTCTAACGGATGCATCCTATCGTTTTGCAGATGAGAAACCAGCAGGACGCCACGAGTCGTCGAAACAGCGGCGACGACTGATTATGACGCGCGTCGGCACGCGCCGCGATCACTCTCGTCTCCTCCTGCCATTCTCATCTTCCGGGACCTTCCACCTTTCCTGCAACCTGATCCTTCTTCTCAGCCTCGTCTCTGTCCGCAGCGTCCTTCCATGCAATGAAAAGACCAGACCCCAGTGTCATGACCCCGTGACCTTTCCTTACCGTCCAGTCGACGTTAGCGCGGAAAGAAAATTCTCTCGAAGAAATTCTGACGACGCTCCGGACTGGATGCAACGCGGTCTAAGCTCGTCGAATCGAGTGGATAACATCGACATCGAGGATAATAGAACATCGCGGAAGGAAACGAACTCGTTTAAACGAGATTGTAGCCACCTGGCGAACAAACAACTCCAATCGAATGGCGAATATAACAGCGAATTCTTCGGTGGCGTGACCAAAATACTCGACAATTCTTTCGTCGAGTTCCGTAGACGGCACGAGAAGCGAAAATTACGAAAAGGAAACGGCGCGCAAATCGATACGGATACTCGAACGGACGATACGAGCGTATCGAACACCGTGAGTTACCATGCTAGAAGACACATTGACCCTAGGATGAAAAGAAACTTTGAGAGGAAACGTAAATTGAACTGGAAGACTACGTCGAGTTCCCCCGGATTAGAGGCACCGCTTTCCGATTGCGACGGCGAATGCGACGAGGAGCGTTCACGGTCCGTTCGAAGGAACAGATCCGATAGAGTCGCGGATAATCCCAGAACGAAAGGAGACAATGAAACGGAGCCTACAGTTCATCCGACGGAAGTAGATAGCAATCTGTCAGCGGCTCTGAACGAGACCAGCGAGGAGCCTTTCATTGGCTTCGAAGGATCGCAAAAGTTCCCCATAAAAGTCACCCATAAACCGCCCGTAGCACCTCAAATTGAAAAGTACGACAGAAGGCACTTCGGTCCGCCCAAGCTGGACGTTCCCGAGGTCACTTTAGCGTCGTATCCGACAACGATGTCACCGGATCTGCCCAAGAGCGCCGGCAGAGACGTTCTCCATCGTCATCGTAAAGTGGACGAGAACGCGGAAGAGGAACGGCGGCAGGAAACGATCGACGCGAACGATAAGGCTAACGACACCGCTGACGATTTCTGGTTACCGGGTGCCTCTTCCGGGCGTCGCTCCTCGAACATAAACGCCGGCAAATCGGAGGAGAAGCGCGTCTCGACGCCCTATCCGTTGTTGATATCCACCGAACAAGATTTCGAGAACGCATCGAGCACCCGGGAAGAGAAGAAAGAGGAAGAGGAAGATGTCACGGTGTCGAGCGCGAAACCGTTCGAAAAGACGAATATAACCATCTTGGGTCTGTTCGAGATGACTCGAGGTCAAGAGCCGAGACCGGAAGGACCCAGCGAACTGCAAGCGGCTAGATTAGCAGTCGAACGAGTGAACGAAATGAACGCCTTGTCCAAATTCCAACTGCGTCTTATTTACAACGATACTAAGGTAAGAGCCGTGTAATTAATTACTCCGAGCCGACGCTTCGAGACGGAGAGTTATTTGTTCCGCGTGCTCCATTGCGCCGTTACAAAGGGATCTTTGTTATGGGATTTCCGGGTGTAGACAAAAGAAGATTTATTAGCATATCGAGAGCCATACTTGTCAGCGATGAAAGACGCTATAATTTTCAACGGAAAAATTACATCGCAACTTCCTTGATGTAAACTGTACTCTAATATACAAGTAGAAGAGATTCTACGCAATTTAACATAGCAAACGCAGGCATTAGATGAAATAATTCATTTTTAGTACCGTTAATAACGCGTGCCACCGCATGTTAATTTAGGTAGACACGACTGTTTCTACTGCAGTACTCAACGTGTAAATAAGAGGATTTACATTTTAATACATCGCATACGTTAGTCGGGTACATTTTCACGATACCCGAACGAAAATTTCCAGCTGGCGGTGTTAACGTCGGTTCTCTCTTGGATGCTCGATTTTCTACGAGCGCGATACGTGTGCACCCTATCACGCGATCAGACTTTCGGCTATAACCGCAAACCTCCGAGAAATACGTAACCACGAAACAGATCGAACGGTAACTGCACCGTGGGCTACGCTAGATTTCGGAAAGAACTTCCAGTCTACCTCGATCCTTTTTAAATCGTGGAAAATGAACGAGTCAGTGGAGAACTACGTTGCTTGCTCATATTTTAATAATACGCTGTAATCCGAAGCTGTCGTGATCAGTTTCGCGTTTTCCCAGGTAAATTTTGGACAGATTTCTCGAAATGTCACCTGTCAACGGGAGTCGACATTTCGTTTCTAATTTACGGTCGCGTTAATTTGCAAATTACATCGTTTCGTTTTCTATTTGTTTCCGTGACGCGTGGAAACTTTGACCTCGCTGAAAGGAAAACTGAAACAAGGGCAAACATCGAATTCGGGTTAAACTTCGTTACGATCCACGGTTTTTATTACTCTTTTCAACTGCACCAACAAGTTATTTTTTTAGCTGTGTCGACACGTTATCGATAACCGCATGAATTGGCCACGATATCGCGGAAAAAAAGTTGAACTTCACAAAGCGCAATTAAACCGCGACGGCTGTTTGATCGAAGCGTACTCTTGAATCTTGTGCATCGTGTGTCCGCGTTTATGTTGAAAAAACGACGGGAAAAAACTGTTACCTCTCGTGATAATTTCCGTTTCTCTGTTACACACTTTTCGCGTTAACTACAGCGTTTGTTTGAGCGTGCTTTATGCAGGAAGAAAAAACAGGATCAACAGAACTGTGACCAACGCGAAATCGCCTGCGTTTTCCGCTAGTACAACATTTCCCGATGACAATAACGCATAGGAAATGATCTATGGTCTAGCGAAAATTGAAACTTAAACGGTGGTATTCGATGCAAATTTTGAATCGACATTACGTATAATATTCGATCTTGCCTGCTAGATGAAATGGTTGATTCGTGTAATCGGTTGATAGCAATTCGATATAATCCTAAGCCATATTTAATGCGGATAACGCATAACAATTACAATTTCAATATTTCATTGTAAATCGCAATTAACGATTACATTGTTTATTGACGATAATTATAATCGTAATTATGATAGATATTTAATCAGGAGTAATTAATTTCCATTTTCGTCTACTCCAACAAAAATACTACTCTATTTTGAATAAACCAGCAGCATAAATTATGCGACATTAATTTTAAAAAAGTTGCAGTACTTCGAGCAACCATGAAGTAATAATGAGCTGTTATAAATACGTAAACGTGAATAACGGACCAAGTTACGAACAACCGTGCTACGTAGTTTTGTTTCGAAAATAATTTCTGTTTGCAATAGAGTACATGCGTCAGATATGATTTTAATTTAATATCGTAATCGATGGCCAGCTCTGTGCGAGGAAAGTTGTCGCGATGCTCGAGTAGCCTTATTATCCAAGAAATACAATACATAAACGTGGAAAAACTGCGAATCTCCGACATCGTAGATATTTCACAAGGAGCTGTCTGTTTAATTTGCATCCTAATTAAAAGTCATTTTGCGCAAAATATTCGAGGTGCCGATCGTTTTTCAGTAAGAAATTTCGCCGTTTTCCTCTCTGATGGAACTCTCATTATACACGAGCCCGAAGCGTCACGTGGCTTTTATGTGTCTTCTTCGTTGAATTGAACGGAGTGCGTCAGACTGTTTTACGTTTTCTCGGTTCGCTAGTGTGGTTGCGAGTGTAACGCGAATGGCCCGATGAAAATGGGGATTCGGAACGTGGAACGGCCGTAGGCCATACGTAATTCAACCAATCTCACGCTGACAAAGTCCTCGAAAAACCGTTCGTCTCCTACGACCGTTTGGGAGGAAAAAAAGAAGTAGAATTTCCCGTGAAACCAGTTTTCCACGCTGGCTTACCCGTTTCGCAGCCGACCCGGCGTTTATTCGATGCATTAAACGAACGCTTATCAGCAAAACATTCTCCCGTTGATCCCTGAATATTCACCATTAATTTGTTTGCGTTCGTGCAAGAGAATTTGCATACTTCGAATTGCGACCAGGCGATTTTCGTCGTCCTTTTCACCTGCTAACAACCAATGAAACTGCGCGAACAGAAGGCTGTTGCATCGAAAATCCTTTTCTCGCGAAATGGAAATGAGATTTTATTTCGGTATCGAATACGACACGGCGTAAAATAGAATCTTATCCTATCCCGTGACCGAGTTTTAGGGCGCGTTACATCGCACGGAAAATTCTGCGTTGGCTCCGTTTCAGTTTCCCGCTAATTAGCTGGAAACTTTGTCCACTAAATATTTCCGGGGAACATGCGTTGCTTCGTTGCTAAATAAAACAATTCACTTTATTCGATTTTGTTACCTGATATCAAATTTTCCTATACTTTTACGATATAATTGGGAATTCTCTACGTATTAAACTTTCGTCGCATCGTTACACGATTTAATCAGTGAGGATTACAGAGGATGCGATATTGTTCGATTGCACATAATCCATGGAATAAATCGCTAATTGATTTTTTCTACCGTATGTGCTTTGATCGAGGAAGCTTCGAAATAACAAACAGCGGAATTACCTTCCCTGAATATGGAAATTAGAGTTAGATCTGTTTTGGAAAGTGGATTACCGGGAGAACCATTTCACTATCGGTGTTATCGGATTCTAACAGACGGGCGAAAAAATGGCACAAAAGAAAAACAAAGCTTCGGGAAATTGTCAGCGCTCTGGAATTTATTCGCGATAACCGTTCCCTTTAACCTTAACCTTTTATTGCCTTATCTGTTCGAGGTTCAAACGTCGTTTGAAATATTTTCGTAAAATAGAACCAAGCATCTGTTTGTCATGTGATACACATCGAGACAGAGTTTTAATTAAGTAACGAAGGATACTATCATGTTTATCGTCGAAATAAAAAGAAGTACGGATCTAGTAATAATCTTTTTAAACGTTTATCAAGCATTTTATATTTAATGCCGTACACTGAACGCGTTACACTGATCGTATCGATGGTATCGAAGAGAAGCCACGTCCATTAAGCCACAATTATCGATAGTTTCCCGCAACCGGTTAGGAAAACCAAAGGAAATCGATTACAAGGGAACGCGGTAGAAATAAAAATCCAGCTTCGGTTATTCGAGGTATCATTTATATAAACACGTCGGTGGTATTTTTAAACGCAGCATAAAATATGGGCTTAATCCTTATTTCCTTAACGAAAGACGTTTGAAATTGCATAAACGATAATGAACGAAGCGAGAAAATAAAACGGGGAAGGAAATGGTGCCTTGATGAAGCAATTCGCGACGTCGTCGAGTATCTGTTCAATTTTATCTCCGCCGACGTCACTCGTCAACGGCGTCTGAAACAGGCTGGAAACGAAGAATTACCCTACCGCTTCCTTCTTTAATTCTTTCGAAGCGATTGATTCGATCGGAGCAATTAATATACTTTTGCCAAGAATCCTTTCTTCGGCGATGTTATCCTTTAAAGCAGAAAAGATTCCCTCCAGAGTTATTTTCCCAATCAACTTTGACAGCTGATGAACGACCACGCTGTTACGCGTTTTCGTGTGAGGGTAAATGGAAAATGAACGAGGCATTCTGGATACAAAGCAACAGCAGAATTGGACATCAAATCGCGGTTTTGCCGACGGCCAGAAATTGAAAAAACGAATATAGATTGAAATTGTAGATCCACCGTTTTAGGTAGAACGTATTGTATCGCCACGCATTTAATATCCATTGTCTCTTTGATGACAAACGTATGTATACTCAAAATTACTCTTATTGCTCGCTTTTTTTCGAGACACCCTTTATCCCCGATACTGTGAAACGTCGAATAATTTTTCAGGTTTTATCACAGATTGATCGTTCATGTTTTCCGGATTAGGAATAATAGAGCAGAACGAGCGAAAACGATCGGGCAATTACGCGAACGCACGATGATTAACCACGTACACGGTAATTGCCTTGTCACGGTTAGTTAACGGAACAGAATCGAAGCCGATATCGATAAAAATTCGCAAATTCGATCAGCGATCGCTATCGAAGCGTGTTTCGCGTCGCTTTGAGGACGAAATACAGGGAAGGTAATTTTTCGAACGAAAACCTGGCATCGGGACGCAAACGAATCGCGCGAATAAACAAATAACATTATAGAATTATGGGGAAATTGGAGATACGCATTTCCACGAGGAAAATTAAAGAGCAAACCACGTTCTTTGAACGTCTATAGAGTAACGCGATTTCGTTATGCGGAAATAATGGTTTAAAATTGATTGAAACATCGGTCAAGAAAAAGAATGAAGCGGAAGAAGTATGGCTGGCAAAAGGAAAGTGGATCGGTAGATTTCGCGATGAAGCGCGACGCTAAAATGACTCGTTGGAAAATGAAAAACGACGTTTCCCCTTCTAAAGTATCCGCGTGAAATCTTACTACGCCCACGCGAACAAGGATTTAATGAGAACGCCGCTTTGATACTGTTTTTTCTTTTATATACCGTATATTCTTTTAACCGCACAACTGCATTAAATTCTCCATAAAGAATCGCGGCAAGATTTAACGATGCTTCCCTAAGTGAAGAGTAACGCGATTTTCTATATACGGGGTATCTCGGATAGAGATAAAACATCTAGATGTCTCTTTCGTTCTTTAAAAGCTGTCTTGAAGGTCATCGATGTTTTTAGCCTTGTAACGACTATTCAGATACATCCAAGTATTTTTAACGATCGGATTATGCAACGTTGAAACATTAGTTCTAGTTCTAGAAATATGATACTCTTGTTATCGCATCTATCATAATCATAATCTAGTTATTAGAATGCGTTGTATGTCACATGGAATACAGCAAGAAGAAGTTTAAAAAGTTGCAGAGACTATAAAGCTTGAAACTATGCGTAGGACGTTATCAGAACTTGCCATAACATTAGAGAGGTATACGCAAAGTTGTCTCTCCGTGGCATAATCCTGCGGTGAAACAAAGTTGCGTTCTATCGCGCAGAAACGTTAACCCTTACCTTAACTCATTCAAGATTACGCTGTCAAAACTTATGGACCGGATATAAGGCTGCGTTATAAATCCACGTCGCTGCAGAAGAAAATCATCAAAAATTCAATGAAAGTCTAACCGGTTGAACAGCATAGCAATTTTCTTTTTCTTGCAAAGAACATGGTGCTCGCGTCCACTTCAATTTTCTTCGAATTGATATATTCCGAAGAAACAGATGGAAACAGTTACGTGGCCATCGGACGCAGTGGCTGTGCTACAACTTCAGTTCAGAGGCAATACAAAAATGGAAGAAAATTATTTTGCCGTAAAGCGACAAGCCGAAGAACATCGTCTATGCATTGACTGTTGCAAATATAGTTTAGTCGAAAATAATGAGGAAATAAAAGGAATCTCCGGTGACCTCTACAGCAGACAAGGCGTTAATAATTCAATGCACTCCCTTCGTGCTCTGAAAGGTTATATTCACGTACACCGAGTGATTCCTCGAAACTCTCGGATTCCAAGAGCTGCCTGACGGCTGACTATAATCGGGCGTTACTACTTAACTGCGTACTCTCCGCTCACGACGGAGGACAATCACGCGTGTGTCATAAACCAGTGGCGGTCACCGATGTGTAATGCATGCTCTCTATTCGTCGGGTGTCTCTAGAGCCTCTTAAATCTTTCTAGGCTTCCGTAGTCCCTGGTCTCCTAAAATTTCACTAAGCAACACCGCATCCTCGTTAAACTGCTAAACGTAACGCTGCATATCCTGAAACAGCAACGCAACACGATATCCTCGTTCGCAGAAAACGGATCACGCATCATTTTTTCTTGTCGTGTTCGCCCGATATTCCATTCCATCGAAGCCATGAAATTTTATTCCCATTTTGGCGCCACGATAAAACAGATCGTTTGTTTCCCAGGGACATATAACATCCGACCTTTCACGCAGGGTTGTTCAAACATTTATAAAACCTCATGATTTTAGTTATCTCGGGAAAAAGCAGTCATCGGATGGCGAATGTTCTTGCATAAATCGGTACCAATGTTCCATCCCTTTTGAATGACCGTCGAACTAAATCTTCGATCAAACATCAAATTCTAGAGTAGGTTTTTGATCGCGCGTTAATTGTACAAATTTTTCTGTGCGATAAGCACCACGATTGAACACGTTCGAAAATAAAATACACGGCGAGGAGATTGGAAGCGATTTGCTACGGAATTATTTGGACGGTGAGATTTTTCCTCGATTCGCGTTGATTTCATAGGAAACCTTTGAAATTCATCGATGATACGTGGAAAAGCAGCTTTAGAAATTCCCTTAGATCGCGAATTCCATAAAAAGTCCGATCACGTTCGTACTGATCCGAATAAGGAGATTAAAGAAGAACGCGCGACATTCCGATCGAGAATCAATACGTCCAATTTCGGGTGAAAAATGTGGACCATTTAATTCACTGCTATTAAGCGTATTGTTCCTCGGATTCGCTTTTCATTACAAAACTTTCGTCGCGTGTTCGCGCATACATATAACGGGATCGAGGTAAAAGCGTAGCACCAACTTATGACCCTTTTGCTCCGATGTTTAAACTCCGTTGTAAATTCCTGTTGGAAAGTTCGAGACTATACCCCTAACATCGCTATGTGGAGCTCGTAATTTTAATCTTTCCTCGGTTCCTTTGACGCATTCTTTCTAGTAAAAACTAATATTTGTAAAAACTGTGGCTCGCAAAAATTTATGACGCAATGTTTAGCGGTACAATACATGACAACGTCTCGAACTTTGATATTACAGTAATTTTCATGGGTTCACCGATGTACACGAAAGTCCGTGTAATTAATATAACGAGACTCTACCGTGAAAATGTGAAGCATCTACTGGCACAATTAAAATTCACCGTCAAATTGAATATAATCAAGCGAAACGTCTCGTGTAAACTCAAACCGCAGCCAAGGTTATGGATATGCATGACGAACAGATTCGTTGTGCGAGCAATCATGTTAGTCGCTTTGATCATAAAGGCGAACGTCGATGCAGAGACGCGAGGAAAGAAGACGTTCTCGAGCAAAGATTCGTTTCGCTGAAAAAGCACTTCGCTAGGTCGGTCATTAACGAAGTTCCGATTTTTCAAGGAGAAAGTCAACCCGAAGTCCTATCGGAACGTTTTAAAATCGAATAAAAGTGCAACAAGATGCGGAAGATACCGATAAATGGGATTCGTTCTATTCTCCTAAAGTTTCCTCAACTGTCGCGTTACCGAGCCAACGTAAAGATCAACCCCTTTGCTCGTCCTTCCGATTGTTCGGTAATAGCTGCCAGCTCCACGATGCTCGTGTGTACTTTAAACAAATAAAACAGTCCGTTCTCGTCATCGAAGACAAATTGATCACCGAACACCTCGAGCTGTACGTTTAACCTACTTTTACATCCTCTCTTTCGTCGCTTACATACTGGAAGCCGAAGTCTCACCGTAAAGTCCGTATTTTCCTTGAAATTGCCATGGTGTAGAGTTTCGAACGAACAGCGAAGCTGTGTGTAAGCTTTCGAGTCCACCCTAGTCACCAGTCGCGTTGAATAATTGCTCGTTAAGGCTCAGCGTGTCTTCTCTCGCCTTACCTTTCCGACGAACACATAGAAATCTAGCAGAAGTATTCGTGATCTTATTCCTCCCTTTTTTTTTGCTTCTCGTTACACGCTACCTTATAATTGCTTACTTTCTACTCGAAGCACGTCTTACTCTCCGGAGAGAGTACTCTTCGCGGACTCTGTATCACGGTATTCCGTCGTCGCGGCGTTCCGTAAACCGTGATTTCGTGTTTCTCCAACGACATAATAGCCACGTAATGGTAACGTAACGTTTTCGCGTGAACTCGACTCCAAATTTTTTCGACTTGTATCGCCGTCGTTCCGGATACGTTTAACGCTTTAAGTGCCACATCGTGTGCTCTTAAATTTCCATAGAGAATCTTTTCTATATTGTTAAAGAGATTTCTTGTAAATTTAATTGGGTGAGAAGGTGTGTCAGAATACTCGTTTCGAGTAAATTTGGTACATCTGTTCGTAGTGCGATCCGGGAGTGGCGGTTGATAGATTCTTCCACGCTCTGTACTCGGCGGAGAAGAACGATCTGATACCTCTGTTGCTGGGTACCGCCTGTTCCGAGGTCACGGAAACCTTGGCCAAGATCGTGCCCTATTGGAACGTGATTCAAGTTTCCTTTGGATCCACCGCACCTGCGCTGTCGGATTCCACCGAGTTCCCATTGTTCCTGCGAACCGTGGCACCGGATTCGAGCCACAACTCTGCCAGGATAGCGTTGATCAAGCATTTCGGATGGGACACGGTCACGGCCCTTTCGCAGACCGGTGACATGTATTCTCTGGTAAGCTCACGCATGTTTCATGCATTTACGGTTACGAGAATTATTACATTTGCCAACCTAATTATGCCAAGAACCTCTTTATGGTCGTAAATATCTGCAAACTCGATTCGCGGAAAATCTTATTCATTCCGAAAGGTCAAAGTTTTTCGAATGCTAAATTTTTGAAGTTACAAATTTCTTTGACCTCTGACTTTCTCGGAGACTTTATAACGGCTGCCCTTTACCCTTAAAGATCAGATTTGAAACTTTTTACAACCGAGCACGTCGATGCGTACCTTAGAAAAGTACTCGAAAGAAGAATCCTGATTACGTAACAAAGTTTCGCGAGATAACTTGTACGCTAAACACGTAACGGATAAACTTGAATTATGTCCGTTTCAACGCATCAACGTCACCTGTCTGTCTTTGCGTTTCAGGCTGTGAACGATCTGGTCACAGAACTGGAGCAGGCGAATATCACGTGCACCGCTACCATCACGTTCGCGGAAAACGACTACAAGGAACAGCTGCGAAGTTTGAAAGTATGACACGCTTCTACTTAAGCTTCATTGAATTTCTTCCCAACCATCTTTGCAAGACATTTGTGGCGTAACTCGTACACAGACACTACTTATTCCCACGGTTACACCTTCTTTGAGAATCTTGCCCGATAAACTGCTCTCCCTTTTCTCGAGTAAATGAAACAGTTGTAAGATTTCGAGCAAGGAATTTCTCCGCGAACGATTAACTCGATTAAATAATTTTATTTTCCCTCTCAATTAATACCGATAGTTTCGAACGAATATGGAAATAAAATCAGCAAAATCGATAGCAATCTGAAATGATCCATGTGGAGTCGTTAGCGGAAGTTTTGTGAGAATTCAAAGGCAATCTAGAGTTTAAGAAAAAGCTGGGGAGAAGTTAGGTTATCAATCAGCGTTAAGATCGGAAGAGAGTGCCTTGAACAAGTATTTAACGTGCATTAGAGTTCGTTAGGCCATGCCAAAGAAAGAAAATGTAATTAGTCATGGTGCATCGTGTATCCCTTTAATTATACTTCATAACTAATTACTCGGTAGACTATAATTTGATGAAGCTACATGAAAGCAGTAACGCTTGAAAAGAGGAGGAGTATCGGCCCCGCTGAAACGTAGTTTTATTTGGTTGCAGGAGTTGGACACGAGAATCATCATCGGGAGTTTCTCACCGCGTCTGGCGCCACGCGTTTTCTGCGAGGTGAGTTCGCTGCAAAAACTTGTATAAATTCGAAAATGTTCTTTTATTTTTGCGACATAAACTTGAATTTATGGGACCATCGATGAACGCGGCAAGTTTCAATATTTTTCAAAGTTCGACCTGACATGTTAATGGCTCGAGTCAAATACTTGTTTTCGCGTTTTAATTTGTACCGAGAATTCAGTTTATCTACCGAGGGTAATACATTATGATCAATAATTCACTGGTGGAAACAAAAAGCATGTGGCAAAATAGAGTTATATGATAATTCATAGCATCCTTCACCCTACTTCTGGGAATTTATGTTCATCGAAATTATGTTTTGCGCCTCGGAAATATAACTTTAAACAAGCTAGTCACGTATCTTTAGTTTGTAATATACAAGAAACAACATGCGGAAACGACAGTAACATCATTTTATTTCAAAAGCAACGCGCGTAAGCTTCAACTTTATGCAAATCCTATCTAGAATTCGTTTAAAACTTTCATCTCTGCATGGACGTTCTATGGAAAAAATCCGAAAATTATTCTCTAGTCAGGTATTTGATACCGCGTCGGTCATCGTTTTAACGAACTCGCGCGAAAACACTCTATCGGGAGGTTTACTAAACGTAGAAAAATACGTGGTCGTTGCATCGAGGTTTCCTCGATATTTTTGTTTCCCCATTGCCGTCGTTTCCTGAAAAACACGCTAGATCAGCAATTCCTTTCAAACCACCCAAGAATAAAACAGTCCACCATTCGCACCTGGTGTGCCGCACGTTTACGAGCGTTTGCTCGCACACTCGCCAACAGTTCAATTACGAATTTTTCACAACCCTTTCTCGTAAAACTGTAATTTTCCCAAAAATTACACCTTCCAGCGTTATTCGCGCGATATTAAAAATCGTAAAGGACATTGCTTTTCGTTATCAACAGCGAAAAGCTTTAGCGCTGATACGTTTTCCACAGTTCGATTACATTCTAATCGACGAATTGAAATTCGTCCATCGCGAAGGACACTACGCCTCGATTTTCTCTGGAAAATCGATGAAACGCAAACACATGGTCACAGCCTGTGCTCTGCTAAGCGAATAATGAACATTGTGTCAAAGTAGGACGCAATTTCTCGCTTTCTCTCTCCCTCTCTCCTTCTCTCCCTTAGTTTCAACCCCCTCGCTCTCTCTCTGTCAACCACAAACACACACGTACGCTTCTCGTTGCTATTATCCTCTCGCTGGCTTTATGTTTTCGAGACCGGTCCTTTCGAACGGTCTCTCAACAGATTGTTTACCCGACAACTTCCAAGTGTTTGACCAGTTTACCGATAAAAATGTAAATTCGATGCTGGAATAATAACGCGACATCAAAGCGATAGATATGTTCTTGCTTGATTTTTCCTGCAATTCACTGAATTTTTTGCATCAGGGATGTCTTGAACAAATTTACGGGATAAAAGAGAGAGACGATCGTTGTTACTCGTAAAATAGTTCACTGGTTATTTACAGTCGCTGGATACTTAACATGCTTGCATTTAAACGTCAGCTAATCGAACCCTTAATAACGAGAGGTGGAACGTGTCTGACTATACCTGCCCGTCTTCACTGTGGAGCGTTAATCACTTGTGACTTACCCGTTTCTAATCCTAACCAACGCTACAAACAACTTCTTCGCATAGATGCATCAAGAATTCAAACTCTGCGCATTCGGGCAACTGGAATGCGTATTTCGCACCCGACATTTTCCGCAAATACCAAATGAAATTACAGTTGTAACGCATTCGTGATATTTGCGCGCTTACGTCATATCGTTGCATTTGCAACAAACTTAGATTAACGCTTGGTTCGGTTTGAATTACATCAATGATACCTTAAATTCGGAAATTCGCTCGTAAAGTGCAATCCAAAAATTCCTACCTTACTACTTCCCTCGCCGGTACGCGTACATACATGTATAGCTTTCAATATACACTTGCCCTGATTTCCTCGGATGAGAAGAGAAACGCGATAAAAAGCGTGTATAAAAATGTAAATTTTCGGCTTGTTTTCAACTTTTTTTTATACGCGTATGCGTTCTCCAATTGCATCGTTAAAGGTTTATTAAAACTGAAAAAGAATTGTATCACGTTCCATGGAACGTTGTATTTTTTTGTGTCGGCGAAAGAAGACGCAACAGTTTAATTATACAACCAACTTTCACCATGTGTGTGGCAATTTTTCTATTTTAATTGCCGACCTAATGGAATCTGGAGTACATCGTTGAAACACCCCTAGGCGTTTGCAGCTTCTGTTCGACTAATAATTATTTTTCTCGAGAGTTTAATCGCGATTAAAAGGACGATTGTATTCAACGATACATTTCATTCGGTCGCGTTACGGAACAAAAGAATGCGCCCGTTGTTTGTAAACGATACGGTACGAATCAACGCTTTCGCGTAAACGTTATCTGCATTTTCGGTTGATTTATGACAGAAACATTTCCGCGTTGCTTGCTTCGTTGTGCACCGGTGAACAAGAAAGAGGAAAAACCTCGGATAGCTTGATCCTGACTAACGAATATTAAACAATAGGAAGTAACGAGCAATCGTTTCTATAAAAAAGCGTATAAATATCGTTGATCTTTGTACTTGCTCTCGAGCTAACTGTAATACACACTATGTTAAGATAAAGAAATTACAAAAATATATTTAACGCCGAGACAGCGCAACGGTGTCGTATTTAAAGATAATGCTATAACGCACCATCAAAAGCTACCGTTCAGTTTTCAATCGGCGCACTGGTTTTCTCGACTACCATGAAAGCCAGAAAGGTCGATAAAGGACTAAGTTTTCCGAAGAGGCGAGAAAATAGATTACCGAAGATGGCGTAAAAAGGTTTTACTGGTTACCCGCAAAAACTGCATCGTCTCGAAAGGGTGATACATCATTCGCGATCGTCGCGTGATAAGATACCGTGACGATCCGTTTCTTACCGCCCTGACTGACAAATGACACTGCTAAAACGCGGTATAACGGCATTCGAAGTACGCACAGGGTGTCACGATTCAATAGCTCGTGAAATTGATAAAATACAACTACTAGAAAACAAACTTATCTTGCTTTGTATCTTCCATCTTCGCGCATGCCGTGAATGGAATCGCGTCGTAAACATTTTTAATATTTATTTTCTCGAAAGTGTTCAGAGGGAAAATGTTATTCCGCGCTTATGATCTCACGCGGAATCACCGTCCCTTCCATTTGTGACTTTAGCTTCGTAACATTCCGTAGCCATAATATGCGAACGTAACTACGGCGGTGAATTCAGCACGCGTAAATAGTGTAAAAAGGTCGCGTAAGCACTGTTTCATGTACAATAACGTAACGCGTGATGATACAACGCGTGACGATGTAACGCGTGTCGATACAACACACGGTATAACGGTGGCTCGTATAAAAGACGTAAACTGTCGCGAATAAGACCTTAAGATATACACTGAATTCTCGGCTGAAGTTATACCGACATATTACGTACTTTGTAGAGAGTGGTCGCGAAATGAGCGAAATAAGGCAAGGTCAAAAACGGTGGAAAGGAAGAGCGAAGATGGACGGTACACGAGATGGGATATATTTTACAAAGACATCTCGAAGGGTCCGAGAGCAACCCTCTTCTCAAAGTCATTTCTCATTACACCAAACGTCCACCCTTCCAACACGAACATCGTAAATATTTCCGGCATACCGTGACGCGCATTGCTTCGATCTTCCGGATGCGAATTGCATTCCCGACCATTCTTTTTTTACCTTGGCTGGCAATGCGAGCGAAACCATTAACTTTTTCCTTGACAGTCGCGCTCGCCGATCGATCTCTGAAGTTGGACGTATCGCGACCAGTGAGAATGTGATCAAAAACCACGTTAATTTCTTGCTGTACTTGATACGACATAAAATTTCGTTAGACGGTGTGTTTTAAAACAATCAATACTCCATGAAATATTGCACTAATAAGCTAAAAACTTCCATATTTTTTTAAATAAAAAATTTCATCGTCCTCGTAACATCCCGTAAAAACGTCTATTCACGGTGGATCCATCCATCCGTTTAAGATAAAAGACTTGCCTGAATTAGCCGTATATTCGAGAAAGCATGAAAAACACAAACCTCCCAGTAACAGCCAATTCTAAAGCTTGCCTTATCTGTTTCTACGGATTTGGCCGGAATTGCGAACAAAGAGAAAAAGACAGAAAAGGGAACGGTAATTATCTCGGAGCTTTTCTTTCTAACAAAATGGAAGACTCTCTCTTTAGTCGCATGTTTTATGAATTGTTGGCACTGCATATGTTCCGATAGGCCTGGAAGCTGGGAATGCACGGGGGCGACTACGCATGGATTTTGCCAGGTGACACGATCGACCTATCAGGAATGGCTGGTAACTGGTGGCACTCTGGACCAGAGGAATGTACACCGTCGCAGCTATCGCAAACTCTGGATGGTTTGATCATCGTCAAGAGCCACGGATCCGCCTTAGGAAATGAGATCAGTTCCTCCGGGCTGGTAAGTATTTCCTTTTTCCTAAATCTTTTCGCGATAAACCTTTAATCCTGAATTGAAAATTTACGAAGAATGGAGAAAAAAGATCCATACTGTCTCGAGTTGCACTTCATAATTACACGTGTCCCACATTAATTCAAATTATCAAAGATCGAGGTTCGTTTACTTTTTTATTCCAAATCCAGCAGATTTCCGGATATTATTTTGAGTCTGACTATGTATCGTTGTTTCTACTACCTGTCACCTTAGCACAATTATTTTTGGTTAAGTAAGATCGTTCTCGTTGAAGTGACAGGTTCTTATGGAAATTCGCGTCACACGAATATGGGTTAATTGTCGATTCTGAATGTCGCTTAAAGCGAAAGGGGTAGTATCCATCCGAGGTAAGTTTTTTGGGTAATGATCCGAACGACGCGCAGCTAAGAAGAATTAACGAAGAAACGTGTCATTATCAGTGGTATAAATAGATACAGGCAGACCTCTTTTGGGGTCCATTAAAGGCCTCGGAGAAACGATACAGCAGCAAAGCGTGATAATGGCCCCTCGACTACCTTCTATCGAACTTTCCATGCTCGAGCAGTCCTGCTAATGACTGACTCACGTGTCGCTAATTACGTTTACACGAGGGAGAAGAAGCCTGCTTCAACGAAACTCGAGCAAAATCTTCTGCTAAATTGTTCCCGTTTCTTTCGCCATTGCGCACTTTCCCCCTTCGACGAGGGATAGCGCCGTTCTGTTCGCGTACTACGACGACAAAACTGTTTATTTTTTTTTTATTTTTCCAAACGATATCATGAATAATTCCACAGGCATTCGAGTATACTAAATATTTACGCTTGGGAAAATAGGAATTCGTGGTAGGATGCAACTCTCTCTGCCGCGAATATCGGAATCAAAAACGAACGCGCACGTGTAACGTCTTCTTTACATACTCTGAGAAACGATGCACGGAAAAGTTAAATTTTACCCTCGACACGACCTGAATATCTTCGTTTTCGAAAACCGATACGATACGAGGCAGCGCATAGTTTCACGGAAAATTCGTGAAAACGATTGCGCGCATAACCATCGGATGCGCGGCTAGCATTAGCTAATGGATTTAATCAAAAATATACGAGATACTGAAATTCGAATTTCCATAGAGACTACAGATTAACCGCGCACCGCTCGAACGATAGGAAATAAAATTTCGCGTTTATCATTCGTGCAATATTGTTGATGGCGCAAATGGTCCGTCATTCCAAGGAAAAATGTGCTTTTCCATTATTAAAACTTCTCGGTTGCGATAAATTTTAAAACTTACTTCGCTCACAATTTTCGAAATTATCATCCCCTATAGTCATTATTTTCTCGCGTCGCGTTACGATCCGATAAATTGATCTTTCCTAGCGGAGAGAAAGTAACAAAAAGACTTAATGGCCAAACACGAAAGTACAAAGATTGCGACTGTACTTTTTATTTAATCCTCCAACTCGAAACCTTTATCGAGCCGGAACGGCAAAGAAATGTTGCGCGTTTTCAAGGAATTATACGAACCCGCGTTACGTCGCATCACGGAAAGAAATGAAAACGTCCTCGAGCGTAAACGCGGTCGAGCGCGTAGCAACGTATAATTTTTCGCTTGCTTTTAACTCGATGAAAACACCGGTTTTTTGCTGTGCGTAGACGAGCAGTAAGTTCACGTCGGAATTGGCAAAAAGAGGCGTGACACTTTCGAAGTTTGCCGCTCAAACGTACGACGCCGTTTGGGCCATAGCTCTCGGATTGGAGAGGACCGAGGCCCTTTTGAACAAGGACAACACCAGCCTCAGCCAGTACACGCACACCAGAAAAGACATTGCGTTGAGATTGCTGGAACAGCTGAAGCTTCTACGTTTTATCGGTGTTTCGGTGAGTGTGAAAAACTTGAGGTTCGAATGATTATGAAATACCAATTTGATTTAAAAACAACGATGCACACACATATATGAAGGAGGAAGGATTAATAAGCCTTCCTTCGCATTGCGAACAAATTCTTTCATCGATCACTCGCGGTGGCAATAATGGTTGGTTTTCTGCTTTCCACGTAGCGCGTCTATCAAAATACACGTCAATTACGAAATCTATGTATCTAACTCGTTACCCCGTGGAACGGTGATTCTTCATATTTCGAACTTTGTTACTTGACCGCGAGTTTCCAAGAGAATTAAAAATACATTTGTCGAAAGCTGCAGTGACAGTCCAAATAATTTAATTACCAGTGGATGGATACGATAATAAAGTACTTTCGTGTCCGTTGATGCGACGCATCTATTCGTTGCAGGGGCCAGTCTCGTTCGATGGAGCAGATCGCGTGGGTATCACGGCCTTTTACCAGATGCACGGTGAGTAATTATGATTACCGGAAAAATAAAAGAGAACGTAAGAGAATAGAGAACGCGTCTATGAGAAATTTGGTGAATCACGGTCTGTTAAATTTCTGACTGTTGTCTGTACGACACAGCATCAGAAATGCGTTCGTATCGCAGTTAGCTGACACGTTTAAACGAAAGGATGAGCCCATTTACACGGCTTCCATTGTTAAATGCTTGGCCAGCGATATGATTCCAGTCGATGCGATAACTGTATGGCTGGCTAACGTTTCTGCCTGAGTATTCCAGTGTTAAACATGCTACGTACGTTCGTTCGAATTGTTCATGAAAGTGAACCTGTGTTTAACTCGTGTCTCCGTTTGCCGTCATTGTTGTCTTGTTACACGCGTTCGCTACGTGCACTGATTCGGAAGGCTGTCTACTTCGTAAATTGACTTCTTTTCTTTCTTATTGGAGCAATTAAAATTCCTTAACTATTTTAAACTTTCACGTAACAACAGTAGAATCACGATATTTTCCTTTTAGATAAATTGTACGTTGGAAACACTTGTTATTCGCGCATCATTTCCCCGATATCGATCTCTCATAATTTCCTGCTCGATTGCTGGAACTCCTCAGGTAGAAAAATATCGAGAACAATAATTGATATTCGTCGCGCGTAAGTATCACGGTCGGATCTTTCGTGAAAAATCACGTGGAAATCAGTGGATAAAGTTCGCCAGGAATTTCTATTCGGTTCACGCGTCGTTTAACCTTCGACCGGAAGCTCTGATTCTTTCCCTATTGCTCGGCACACAAAATCATTTGTTTAATTCAGACAAATCGTTTGCTCTCCTATTTTTCCGAATAGTAGTGCAAACACTTTAACGACTACGAAACAAATTTCAAAGAAAATGGCCTGGGTTATGTCCAGGTCCGCGACACAAAGTGCCATGCAAATAGACCGTGTACTCATTGACTCGTAGCTCCACTTCGACGCCCCAGTTTAGTGTTTTTTTCATAACGAGAGCGCGAGCGACCGATGAACATGCCGCGAGAGAGTGAAAAACGCGAAAACGAACAAGTAATTTCTCTGCACGAGTGAAAAGACGCGATTCGTCAAATAGGTTGCTCGGTTTTGCCGGGTTTATATGGGCCTCGTCGATAGATTTCCCCCACTTCGATACTTTTCCGGTAAACAGAACGTTGCTAGTCGCTTCTGATAACTACCGATTACTATAAATTTACTGTATAGCAAGACCAGGATTATTAAGATTGAAATTGACCCAAATCTTTTTAATCGTCGGGTTAACTCCTAGAAAATAAATTGCAACCTTTAAAAAAACATCGTCCATTACTACCGATGTCTTGACTTTTCGACCAGAAACTCGATCTGCCTCGATACTGACTCGTGTCCCGATTGTCTAAACATGAGACAATTAAAGCAGCCGCGTACTTGCCTAGCCATGAATTCGATATGCGTTTACGATAGGGTGAGAGCGTAATTAGCGCTGTTGCAAGAAGCAGAACACGGGTTACGTGAAATGATTCACGATAGAGATTACCCGAGGAAGATCTATGAATGTTTCGCGGTAATAAATTGCCTCTTGGAGAAGAAGATATCGATACGCTTAAACGTTCCGTGATGGATTGACCGGTTATCGATATTCTTAACTCGCTTAGCGCGATCCCAAGCAAATTTTCTTTGCAATTTATAATTTTCATATTCGTCGAGGGTTTAACTGTCATTTCGACCATTCGAGATTTCATTACGAAAAGTTTGAAAAACTCGATATCTTTGGAGAACTTCTCGGACTAAGAACTTCTCTAAAAGAAATTTGTAAACTTTCGTCATCCACGTAATACGTGTTCGATGGATATCGGGGAACGGTTGATCTAGTGGCCCGAGCTCGAAAAGTTAATACGAATTTAATTTAATTTGTCGAGTGCACAGATATTTTGACGAAGCTGGAACCGAATTCAACGGAGAGTCGCTCTATCGAGAAGTTATCTCGCGTAGGATAACATGGGAGAAGAGTTCCATCAATCCGTATCAAATTAGTCGGAACGAGTTCAACGATAAATTAATTAGTTTTCGCGTTAGAGGCTTTTCGAAGGTTACCGCGGCGACGAGTTGAAAAGCTTCCAGCGTGGGAACTCGAGTCGAAAGAGCCATAAGACTCGAATAGTGTAGCGGGAAGGTGGTTTTCTGTGTACCCGCCACCGCACAGGACTGCGGCCTGGCCGGATCTCCACGATCCAAAGCATGAAACGAGATCGGCGTGAGCTTCGTGCGAACACGACCAAAGATGTTTGCCATTCTACCTGGCGGATGTCGGTAAGAAGTCGATGAATAATTAATGAGAGAAGGACCCTCAGGAATCGAACGGCAGCGAAAGGGAGCGTGCCCGAGAAACGAGAAAAAGTGGAGATAGAAAACAAGAGAAGCTGGAATGTATTGCACCCGAGTCGGTATTAATCGTCGTTCCAACGAAGAGGCAGCCTCGTAACACGTCCAATGAATATCGTGTCCGCTTTTTTTTACGACAAATTCTGCCGCGACAAATGTTACTCGTGTAAATTGTCGGAAATCCGTTTACACTCGTACGACGTTCGCGAAATGAATTTTCCACCGAATAACCGGGTTACCGCATAATTTGAGTACTCTCGCGACTACAAGTATCGTTCCTCGCGTATTATCGACGAGACACTTCTCCTGTCACGATCCAAACGATTTTTTATCTTTCATAAAGAATTTGCTTCGCTTTCTCTACATCTTTCACTCGATTATAATCTTCCGACGATATTCTCTTTCTTGCGAGTCCTCTGACCGTCCATTAGCGCGAAAAGAAATTTGGAACTTTAGGAAAATAACGCATCAACGACTGGGTCGTGAAAAATTGCCGTCTTCGAACTGTAGATCCCAGCTCATAAGAGTTCGCGAAGCCACGCATTACGATTCGTAGAAAGAAAAATATTCCGACGATCGGAAACGGATTTAAATCTTTCGTATTCTTTCTCTCTTCGCTCGGCTAATGTCTACAAATATATTACAGCCATCTAAACCATTCGTTATTTATACTACAGTATTCTTATACGCATATAAATTCCCCTCCGCTAGTTGCTGATTTTCAATTACCGGCATATACGTTGTTCGCAACGAAAGGGTTAAAAGCTTTCGCATCCGCCGCACCTGTATCTCGAGCGTTAAAGAACCTGAAAAGTGCCCGAATCCCGCAATTTCCTCGACGTTTTTATAAGAACAACCTTTCAAGCTCTTTATCCGGTTGCTCTTGATCGTCCCGTTGGGAGAACCTTTGTTTCTTCAGCGTGTACTCGTATCGGAGGGGTCGAAAGATCTTCGTTTCCCAGCGAAACGTTTTTACGGAACTCGAAGTTACAGCGTTCTCCCTCTCTATACACGCTCCCCGAAGAAGCGTTAGAAATCGACCGATTTTCCAGCCATTTTCACGCGATTCTCACCGCTCGTGGATGAAACGTGTTCGAGCGATCGTTGATGGTTCGGATCGTTTACCTTGCGCGAGTTATGAAGAAGAACTCCTTTTTCTGACCAACCCTTCGAGCATCGATTTCTGATAGAGTCAACGAACTGGCACGAATTTCCGTCAACGTTAGTCGAACACAAAGAACTCTCGCCTTGGTCGGGCAAATTGGACACCATCAACCGTTTGCTTCTTTACCTCTGGTTTCCGTTACCGTTGTCCTGTATTCCTTTTTTTTATTCCGGTTTACCTTTTCCACGCTCTTTCATCCATCTAGCCGGTCGACAGTCAAGGCTCCGCGGTTGTAATCCATCAAATCCTGTAGCGGATAACGGTCACATTGGCACTGGCTTTGGATTTAACTTTAAAGCATAATCTCGACGGGAGAACCGAACAAAATACTCTGATCTTCGTTTTTACGGTCGCGGCATGTCGATTCGTGAACAGCAATTTTACGTCCTTCTACCGTTGCGTTGGGAGCTTTTCGTTCTCAAGAAAAATACCGGGATTTGTCTGCTTTAACCTCGTGACGTACGCCCTGAAAGTTACTCGGTTATCTTCGTTTCTAAACCTCGTTGGAAACTGAACGAACGTATTAACAAAAAGAAAAAAGATTTATAAAAGATGGTATAAAAGAGTTGTACCTCGACGTCCTAATACCGTAAATATTCTTTTCGCGAACATCGCAACTATCCTCGCCAACTTCCTGAAATCTTATTATGTCGCAAATGAAGATTGGCAGGAAGTCCAAAGTCACAAGTTTAATAGTGTTTGTTCTGCTTCCGCTCACGTCCTGATTAATTCTGTTCTCGAAAAAAGTTGGATTAGGGAGGAAGTTCTCTTACCCGCGCTGAATTCCGCTCGCAGGAGCCATTAAATATGCTGTAGAAATGTTCGTCTGTCGACTGTGCAACACCCGCCAACAATAAATCCTCTGTTCAATGTAGCGTGCTATGAATCACTCTGCTCTGTCGGTATATCTACGACACGCCAATTAATATTAACTTTCCGCTTTTTCTATCACACACGTTGAGGTTTGCAACGACACGAATTTCATTCGAACTTGTAATGCATATTTTATTTTGTGGCTGATTACGCATCGCCGTTTCTACTTCAAAAAGCCAAGTACAGCCAGTTCCACTAAAATAAGTGACTGACCAAATACCGCAACATGTTTGACCGCAGGAAAGATGTGCCTAAGAAAATCGGTCGAAAATCCGCAACAAAGCAAAATGAATAAACGAAGAGCTGGAAAACAACGGTGTCCCATTTTGCTCGCATTGTAAACTCGATCAAGTATTCCAGACAATGATGAATGGTACCGCAACGTCCGATAATTTCATTCTCTCGAGTCGAAACAATCTTCCGTACTAATTGCTTCGTTTCTTCGCGAACGATAACGGAAAACAAACTCTTTGAATGGTCGTAAAGAGAGGGTTCGGTCGAGAAACATAAATTGCGAATGTCCGTTACCTTGGAGAAAAAATCAATCTTAAATAGACGGATGTATCGTTAACGGCATCGCGTAACTGACAAGAAATAAGGTGCAAGTTGTGTTGCGGTTTGAAACTGTTCGAAATTATGAAAGCGAAGAGACTATCTATCTTGCCGAAAGCGAAATTTACTCGGTTCGTTTAACGGGCACAGCGAGTAAAAATAGTGAAACCTAGATTACGGACACCCCTTTATTTCAAAGCGTCGCGTTAATGAAAGAGAAAGGAACGTTGATGGGTATTGAAGAATAAGTGATCGCTAATTAACCATAAAACAAGCACCAAAGCGTCCTGGTTGGGGGTGTTAAAAAAAATATTCAAAAAGTGCGATGAAATTTGAATCGCTCTATAACTCTTCTTAATTATCGCCCTTAAAAACGAGGTAATTAAACGAGTGCTGTTGAAAACTTTGATGGTAGCGGCGGGAAGAAAAGATTACGTGGTACTGGAGTGCCTTAAAAATTAACCCTTGTTCTATAAAAGAACATTTTAAATAGTATGGGAACAGAGATGTTAAATTCGTATCGTGCTACGAAATAACGAAAATGTTTTCCAACGATTAGAATTCCCTCGCGTAACGCGGTGCACGCTGAACTACTTTTTAATTGAAAGCAATTTCCCACGGTAAATAGAGTTTTTTAAGAAAATAAGTATCGAGCGTTTCGCAAAAGTGCAAAAGCTAGAACGAGACCGTGCATAAATTTCGAGTAAAAAATAATTCGTTACAGTAAGCAGTAGTTTCGCGAGAACAAGGATGGTAAGAGTAATTCTCTGAAATATTCATGAAGCAAGTGCACGTATTGTTTTCGTGAATAGAAAGTTTAAAAAGCGATCTACTCGGCCTCTTTTGCCTTCGGTTCTGGGAAATGGCTATGGAAAAACCAACGGTAGTACGAAGCGAGTATCATTATCCGCCTACTATCATTAAGCTGATGAGAAAAAATCCCAATATCGTCTCGTTTGTGGATTTCAATGGCTTGGTACTTTTCTCGCACACTAGAAAAGTTATTACTGCCTTATCGTAAGCTTTAGATTCGTTTCGTCGACTTAGCGGCACGAAACAAACCCATCGAGGTAACGGTGAAATCAAAATAATTAAAGTGCACGTTTCTCGTGAAATTGAAATCTTGAATGACGTTGTTTTAAGAAAGAGACAAGATGAAAATTTGCACGAGACAAAGGCGAGCGCGATATTATCGAGATGGAGATAAACGATTTAATTTAATTGGCCGAGTAGCAATTTGCACTCGAGCGAAGAGTGGAGTGTCTTAAATTTCTTTCGCTTGTAGGTCACGTTATAAGAAGGATAGCGATTTTCAGCCCGGAAGACGGCAAACTGATAATGAATTGCCCAGGATGCGCGATAACCAGGTGGCCTGGTGGACACCCTCCTGCGGCCCGAAGGGTTTGCCGGTACGTATTGCTGTACTCCATTCCTGAACGCTCCGTTATTGAAATTTCTAACATTCGATCAAATGTAAATGACTTCCTCCTCATAAATTTTACGTACGTCGACGTACTATATTACACTCATTAACATAAGTAGGTGGGAATCAACGCGCGTCTAACTATCTCGGAAATTTCTCCGAATGAAAAATCACCAACTCCGAGGTCACGCAGAGATTTTTGGTACCGGTGTTAGTGAGGAACCTAGCTCTGCCCAGACCACTGGTTACTCCGATGGGTTCACTCTATATTTGACCAACCTTCGTGTAATTATCACGCTTCGCCGGTATCGATTTTCGTCTCATTTTTTGGTCATGGGTCAATTACGTATCTACGTAACATCCACAATCGCTTTCATCGTATCGATTCGAATCGATGGTACTGTACGAATTTAATTAAACCATGAATAAGAAATAAACGGCTGACAAGTCGATCCGTTCCGACTCACTGAGGATGAATGCCGAGCCTAACCGCGTAATCATTTATAGTCGCGTTATCAGCTTTCCACGCTAATAGCGGTATTATGCGCACGGTAAACTATAATATAACGCGTTCAAAGAGTCTCAAAAGCAACGAGGACCTAGCAAGATTAACCGACGATGAGATTTCGCGTGGCAGCGTAAAATTCGATTTCGTTGATAATTCGTATAAAAATGGCTTAAAGAGCCTCGTATCAAATATGGGATCCTCCTGACACGGTGCACAAGTACGCGATAAAAATATACTTGAAAGTTTCTCTATTAAAACCTACTACATTAACGCGATCTTATTACATCGTTATTCTATTATATTTCGCACGAAACCGTTATGAAATTTCGCTCGGTAAAAAGCTCCGGAAATAAGTACACGGAAAGTTAGTCTTTCTCGGCCAGATTGGAGGGCTAAAGAAACTTTTTATCAACTTCTTTCTCCGCCATTCGTAACGTTCGCCACGACGACTATTCCCACGTTTATTATAATTTGAAAGTATTTTAGAAAATAGCTATTATTCTTTCGAACAGGTTAAGAGTAGTTACCGTGGCACCAGCTGCTTTTCTCGCGGTTACCTGTCTTGCCAGTGTCGGAGTCACTCTGGCACTCGCCTTCCTGGCTTTCAATCTGCACTTTCGTAAACACAAGTAAGTTCCACGATAATTTCATAAAACGTTAAACGCAGCTTCGAAGATTGCTCTGATTTAGTCCTGTCTTCGTTTAACTGGTTCATCTTGTACGACGCGTACAAATCGTTCTGTTCGCCATGACTGACAGGAGCATAAAGCTTTCAAGCCCTAGACTGAACAATATGGCCGCTGTCGGTTGTGGTCTGGTCTATGGTGCGGTTATACTTCTGGGTTTGGATCACGCCACGCTTCCGGATAGCAACGACTATTATCCTACAGTGTGCACCGTGAGTATTAATCCTCCACTTACGAGAACTCATTGATTATCGTTTGGTCGTTTAATTACCGCGTACGAAACAACTGAAATTTATTAGATTGCTATGTTGAGAAACTTCGGTTGTAACTTTAACGTAGATCACCACGCGTTACATTTATATCTTTGTTAGCGAGTTACTACGTACGGTCAAGATTGATGTTTCGCACGTTCGCTTTCCACTCGGTTTCTCGACTCTATCCTTAGCACGTAGAACAACTTTGTCTCGAAAACCAACAAGTCGTTTTGAAACAAACGAAAAATTGTTTATGACTTTAAAAGGGCAACGAATTTTTCGCTCGCTTTAGCTGGTATTATCTACGTTGTAGCTCTCGAATCTTTTTCTTCTAACACCCTGTAGAATCACTGAACTTTAGACGAACGTTATATTTAGTGCTACTCGTTGTATCGTTCCAGGCGAGGGTGTACCTATTGTCTGCCGGCTTTTCTCTGGCTTTCGGATCGATGTTCACCAAGACCTATCGCGTGCACCGGATTTTCACGAGAAGCAGAAGCGGCGTTGTCAAGAATAAGGTATAATATATCCGTAACAACATAAAAGAGAAACAACTAAACAATACTATTCACGTTTGATCTTTTTCGATTGACAATTCAATCGTACGATGATACGATTCGCGTGTCGCGTATCGCGTGCACGAAAAGCGTCAGTACAGTCCTGCTACTTGCAGCTACTTCAGGATACCCAGCTTATAAGCTTAATCTGCGTCCTTCTACTGATAGACGGCCTCGTGGTGACCCTGTGGGTGACTTTCGACCCTATGCAACGTCATCTCCGAAACTTAACCCTGGAGATTAACCCTCAGGATAGGGGTGTCGTCTATCAGCCCCAGGTAACATCGTCGAAAAAAAAAAGAAACAATTCTTTCCCCTCGACAATCTCGACCACGTTCTTAAAGTATTCGCATGCGATCGACGACATAATCGATCAATGCAACGTCGATGCTTTTTCGCCGCAGGTTGAAGTGTGTCGTTCTCAACACACGAACAGTTGGCTAGGAGCTCTTTACATTTACAAAGGCCTACTGCTGATCGTCGGTGTCTACATGGCCTGGGAAACGAGGTAAAAATGCTCGAGTAAACTGCGCCGTAACAAACGCGAACGGCTTCTATAATTTGGTTTCACGATGTCAGCGAAAATTCGATAAAAACGAACGGAACGAACGCTTCGTGAATCCACGCGTACACGAAAGTTCCGATTCGAAGAGGCGGGGTCAAAAAGGGAATTGGAGTTTAATGAGGGATGCCATTAGACGTTCATTAGTAAAGGGTGTCTTCTTGCCGGCGAACTGTCATTGAACGAACCAACGACTGGATAACGAAACGTGTCGATTCGATTCTGTCGGTCCGATGCTGACGAGAACCTTACGATTTAACGTTTCTGAAATGAACATAAGGATCTTCTATCGTCGTTATCGTTATCGATTTACTTTTCTTACTTCCATAAAAAATTCTTTATCTAACGCGTATCTCCTCGATCTTGTAATTTATCAATCGCACATCGTCCGACAAACCATCCATCTCTTTTTCGTATTCGCCCACATATCCAGCTTGATTCCAGACACGTGAAGATCCCGGCGTTGAACGATTCCCAGTACATCGGCATGAGCGTCTATTTCGTGGTGATCACGTCGGGTATCGTAGTGGTTTTGGCTAATTTAATATCGGATCGGGCGACCCTGGCATTCGTGACGATCACGGCCTTAATTTTGGCTTCTACCACCACGACGTTGGTGTTGCTGTTCCTTCCCCAGCTGGCCAATATTCTAGCCGGAGAGAGAGCCGATCCTGTCGTACAAAGCCTCGGCTTGAAAATAGAATGCAATACGAGGAGATTCGTCACCGACGATAGAACGTAAGTAGCCGTAACTTGTTGGAACGATAGCACCGTTGATAAGTAAACGGTGATCGAGAGCAAATGGAAAATCGAAAGCTCGATAAGAACTCGAATGGCGAGAAGGATGGGAAACGAGAGGATGAGCGGAACGGTGTTAGTCTCGATAACGATAAAAGTCTTTCGTTTTGAAACTAATCGTTCGAACGAATCGGCCTCGGGACAATCGTAACCTTTCTTCGAGTCCAGGGTAACCGAACTCTCCGTTTACCCCTCCGCGGATATAAAGGAACAATTCTTTTGAAAGCAGGTCACAGATATCGTTCGTCATATTTTATTCAACCGGCCGACTTTCATCGGATATTCGTTAAAAAGATATACGATAACTCGGGAAAGTTTATCGAATTTTCCGCGAGAATTTATCCGATATAAAAGGACGAGATGCCGTAGGTCGACGTACATCACTCTTCCTGTCTCGCGTTGTTTCTTGTTTCGCGCGAGGAGACTCGTGAAGTTTGAAACATCTGCTCCTGGAGTCGAGAGATTGAACCGAAATAGTTTATGGTGAATGTTGGCCGCTATCGCGTAGCGTCGGAAAAATATATCCGAGAATTTAAGGTGCTTCTTCGCGATCGTACCGCTAGGTCAAACGAGCGATAAGCGCAATCCTGGGATTTTACTGGAAGAGAATTTCGAGATCGAAATGTTCGTTCTTTACCCGGTTAAAAATTTTCTCCAACTGTTTATGAGTTGCTTGGTTTTGCGACACGATCTTATGGCTCGTTGTCTCGAAGGAATTTAACCGATATAAAATTTGTCGAGGAAACAGCGAGCTTCAGTACCGCGTGGAAGTGCAGAATCGCGTGTACCGCCGTGAAATGGCCCAGCTGGAGCTAGAACTTGCCAGATTGGAAAAACAATTGGCACAGGAACAGGTGGAAGCATCGCACGCCTCGTCGAGCGCATCGATTCCGCAACGCAATCCCAGCATCGGCGGAGGACTACCTTTGTTGTTGCTCAGTGTCCTTCCGCCGGTCATCCCTAGGGCTAGCTGGCCGTCCGCGGATTCATCCGGTAAGTGAATTTCTTTGACGCGTAATACCGAGAATTCGTTGTGCAAATACGTTCGTGTTACGTACGGTCCAAGATTGTCTCTGTAGTCGCTCGTTTCCCTTTGATATTCTCGTAAATTTTATTTTCCCGCGAATATTCAGTGGTGTCAGGGGAACACACGGACCGGCGGGTTTGCGCTTTGCAATACCTATAAAGAAGAAGTAGGTCGTTACGGAACGCGTTACGTTTTCCCGTCCGGTAAAATATCGTCGCGTTGGTCAAAACTGTTTGTCGCGAACAACTGAACTCTGTAAAAGATACGTGCAACATAAATTGTTGGTCGACGGCGATATCGTATGGTACGAAACGAGCTGCTATCGATCGACGTTTGCACGATGAATGAAGAAATTTTATCAGGGAGAGAAAGAAGGAACGATACATAATTAAATGTTGTTCTCGCTTCGTCATCCTTCCGTCATACAGGTGTTCGAGAAAGGTGACACGATTTCATTTATTGCACGCAATTGTTCTGAACGATTCGAAAGTTGACATGCTTGCGCCGAAGGAATCGATCAATTAGAATAGCGATGCTGAACGTCCTTCAAAAATTCACTGTTCTTTTACGACGCGCATAAAGTGTTTCGTAACTTAACGAGTTTTACGTTCGAAAAAAGCACGTGTTTTTCCAAGGAAATTGCATGAGAGAGTTGCCAAGCGATACTTTTTTTCTTATTTTCCATTCCGTTTGTTTAGCAACGTACGAGGTTCGTTATTCATCGCAAGCTTGTTACTCCGACGATCTGAAGCAGCAGTCTATTCGATGTTAATTATAATAATTTGCGCTCGCTCGATAACGAGACAGCACTCGATACTCGTCCCGCTGTATCGAGTAAATTTACAGACTGCTATTCGTGATCATAGATGAAACGGTTGACACGAAATCGGTCTAATTGTCACCCTGACATTAGTCCGCATTACTAGCCCCTGCAAGAGCTTTGCGAACACGATTCGTACAATTCCTGACGTATTAATTGCTATTCGAGACACTAGACTGCACTCGTGTATCCCTCGAGTTTCGAATCCCAAACCTCTTGACAACTTCGGACAAGTCCCTGACAGGTCAATGCACGTGCATACACGGAACTCTGCACGATTGAATTTGTACGCTCACCTCGCTGTTTCAGAATGCAATGACGCCCAGCTAAACGGAAAATCGATCGACAAACTCGACGACCGCAAAAATCGATCCAACAAATAAACGTTCAACTACTGATAATTATTCTTCGTGGAAATCTAATACCCGTCGTCGAGATTATCTATCGAAACTCGTGTTTCGGAATAAAAGCGCGATTACGCGTACAAACTAATCGCGAAGAAGCTGTTACGCCCGCATAGAGTAGGAAAGTTTGTAGGATCGATACGAGAGGATATCGTGGAAAATAGGAATTAAGTAACCAATTACGAGCGCGAAAGTCTCGAAAGTTTAATTCCCTGTACCTTTGACCCCTATTTTCTACGGATTCCTACGGTTGCTCAGGGAAAGTTCTGGTATAACGTTTAAATGCTCGAAGCGGCACGTTCGAGACCGCGCGAATAACCAAAGGTATAAAAGTCGGTACTGATCGGACGATAGCACAGGTCTGAACGGCTTATTTCGCACGGAGCGAATCGGTTATATTCTCGAGAAAGGAAAGTTGAACAAATTCTCGCGGTCTCGGACTATTTCGTGTTACGAAGCGCATAAAGATTGTACTTTTCTAAGGGAAAATTTCGAACGAATCTCCTCCTTCCTCTTCTACGATATCGTAGCGCCCGCTTTCGCTTCTGCTTCTTCGATTCGCCTTACCGGCGAATGTCAGTAAATTTGCTAGCTATTTGCTTGACAATTAGGGGAACGCGAGCTAGGATTATTATCGATGTTTCTTCGAAATAGGCATACGCCGGGGTACCGTAGCGTTTAGCAGCCAACCGGATCTGGAACCAGACGGCGCCAGAAGAAGTCTCGCAGATATTTACAAGCTTCATCGGCGCAGAGAAACAGAAGGACCGAACCGTTTGGGTGTTTTTCAGCGACTCTTGAGTCTTTTTGGCAGTCGACCTAACAGCAGAAAAACATCGACCGCCTCGTTTTCGGGTAAGAATGGGATAACTTTCGTTCAATTTGGTTAAGTGATTAAACGACAAAGAAAATGTTGATTCTACCATGGAGAGTATTTGCTTCGGTCGGTGGCTCATATTTTCGTTTCTTGAAGTATCGACAAATTTATGAGATCGCAGTAATTCGAGCAGATACAGAATTTTAATTAAACCGAGCTGCTTAGAACGTAGAATACAAATTCAAACCTCAAAAGGTTAAGTCAGATCGAAATTGTATCGTAATCCCGCAGGAGTAGCGTCAGCGCTGCGGGTTCATATGGGTTACATCGCTGGTTTGGTACCAGGCACAAAAGCTGCGTCTACCTGTCAGATGAATGCCCAAGGCACTCGTTCGCCTCATCCTCGGTGTTGCTCAGGACCAATAATTAGTATTACTAGCGAAGAAGATCGCAGATTAAGCCTGGGGCTACGTCGTAAAGAGAGCAGCGAGCCAAGAGTCAATTTCAGCCTACCGCCCAGTAAGTGTATCCAAACTGTTCATTTTCTGACTATCCATTAATCATTCAGTGTATCATATATCATAAGGAAACAGACGACCTACATTAACTCTTTTGCTACGAACCTATACGATACATGCCCTCGAAAAATGAACGCCCATTCGTTTCGAGAACACGTTACAGTAGATTCTGGTATTTTTCAAAAATTTCATCGCAAGATTTATAAAACAGGAATTGTGTCGTTATAACGTTTCGAACTAAAAGTCGTTAATAACGCGTTCCATTCGCAATGAGCATATTTTTTCTCAAGGTATGACATGCACCCAATATGAAAATCTTTCTTCTTCAGAAGCAAGTACCAGTCAAACATCCTCGCGAGAGAAGATCCGTGGATCACCACGATTCCCTCACAGGATAGTCCCAGCGAACAGCTTGAACGCGATCGCTGCTGGATCGTCGATCGCAACATCGCATCGATGGCACTCGATGGAAGACGCTAGGAAAACGAAAGTCGCCCAACTGCCTCGAGGTTCCTCGTGCAGTCCCAGTTCCGACGTATGGATCACTCGCCACGAGCTTGGGATCCCTTTGAGCGAACTGGGAAACGCTGCTCGAGACTTGAAACTTCCAGAATCGTTAGCTTTGCCCGCGACCGCAGAGTCGACCGTGTCCAACATCGTGGCCGTCGAGGACGAATCGAAAAGGATGACGGAGAACGACGGTTCCGTCGAGGCAGAGACGAAGATCACCGAATCACCTTCCTCCTCGCCATCCTCGCCGACCAAGATGTCGAACAACAAACCGTCGTCGTCTAAAAACGAGCTTCATGCAGACGCGAGTGAGAATACTCGAGCATCGGAGTGTTCTCGATCGTCGAGTTCCGCGACAAATTCGAACACTTTGGAAGAGAACGTTTCGCGTCAAAACGAAGAATCAACTGCCGCGTAAAGTAAATCCGTGGGAGAGACACTGCTTCCTGCAATATCCTTTCCTCCTTCGTTAGTCTATAGTATCGAACGAGGAACGTCGTATGATTTGTGCCAAAAGGTACAGACGAAGAACACGATCCATGAACGCGTTTCTCTCTTCCTTTAATCCTTATGATCCCAAAGATCGATTTAGGCCGGTTAAAATCATTCGAGTACATTATATTTGATCGCTGAACATTTCAGATATTTTCAAGAATATATTGCAACATTTTCAGTTTGAACGTTACGTTTTAAGTTTAACTTGGGATCAAAAGAATTAAGCGTAACACGTAGAAAGATTGCACGCGAGAATCATCTGTGGCCACGTTTGTGCCGCGAAAAAATCAACTCGTACGAGGGATGAAAATTTATTGCCATTTAAACTTTGATCGTGTGTGTTCCCTAGCAATCGTGCCAAAGACAAACATATACAGGACCGGTAAAAGTATACAGTTGATCGACTTTATGGATTACGGAGGGACCAACGTATTAATGATCATTCCCGTTTTGTTATTTGAAATCCGTTTCGATGAAAAAATTCATCGTAAATTCATTGAGCTTTTCGTTTCTTCGATATCGTTTCGTACAATTGACAAGCTCAAATCCCGTAAGGTCGTGAAAGACAAGTCGAGGAAACTCTTACAGGTCCAAACAAACGTTAAAGTGTTCAGCGTTCTAGATCCCTTCCTTCAGTACCTGTACTCGGTGTAATCTGTTTCGGTCATAGTCCATAGTTTTCGTAAACCCACGAGGAAACATCGAGTTGTCTGACCCTGAAGAAGCTAATGCAATATTAATACATCACACGATATATGTATATGATCGTACTTTTAAAAAAAAGTATGAGAGTAAATATAAGTTACACTCGAGAGCTACGAACTGTGCTCGAAACAGTGATCCAGGTCGTGATATTTGTTCGCGGTCTAAAACGAAAATAAAAATTGTCGATTTCTGCTGTGAATCTTAAATCGCGATGCACTGATATTTTCATGCTGATACGAGTTATTGTTCGTGTATAAATCTGTAGATAAAACTGGAAGAAGCGCAAACGTATTCTCTCGTTTCGTACTTCGATAAACGTCTCGATGTGTCAATCATTGAATTTACTGACTTACTACCACTAAGCAATAATGTTTTGTCGGTACAATTAACAAATGGTATAATAAAGATACGTATATATTCTACCTATTTACTGGAACACACGTTTCTTTTTTCATTCCGTTCATCACCCGAGAAGCTGGAGCAAGTGAAATTCCGTTACAAATAAATTAGAAGATTTTATTGTTATCTATCTGTAAGTATAACACGATGCATATGAATTGGTGGAGTACAAAAAGTTATACATCTTTTTTTTTTTTAACAGAGCAGTTATTTACATTGCGTTAATGAAATTTCCAAGAGATACGAAAGGCGTGATAGATAAAAGTCGCTCGTGACCAACGAATATACAGGTATTAAGGGATGGATATATGATTCGCGAAAGATTAAAGTAACAAGTTTCAACGATGTGCACGATAAAGTAACTTAATTATCTGAATATACGTCAACGATGAGATTCTAACAAAATAAATTACATATTGACCTATGATTATCCATATATTTGTATATACAAAAGACATGAACGTTTCCTAGAAAAAATTAGTACGTCTATTGAGCTGAGCGTTAATAGAAGAAGCAATTCATTCCTCTCCTTTCGATACTAATAAAATAACTAGCAACCCCTTATTGATTCTCTAATTAAAAGGAGAAAATGTATCATTCTTCCTTGTTTAAACGAAACGTTAAAATCACAGATTTGTTGTCATATTTAAAACTGGAAATTCTTAAGTATTTACTATTCTCCCGTTTCTTCCGACCTTGATAGCCGTGCCTCCATTAGCTATATGGTCGCCTGAAACAACAAATGATCTCATTAGTATTCAACTAAAAACTCGAATAAATCGGATAAAAATGTAGCACAAAATAATTAAACTTACACTGATTTTCTCTAATATAGTTTCTGCCGGTTTATCCTTTTGAACAGATTTTTTTGAAGATACTTTAACGGATGTTTCTATCTTTTCCTCCGTTTCGTTTTTCTTCTCCGGACTCTTTAACGCGTTCCGCGCTTCGATCCTTTTCCTATTGAGGAACGCCATCCCATGAACTCTCAAATGTTTGTCCACTGCTGCCTTGTCTTCGAAAACGGCCATACAAACGTGGCATTGATTTGCTTCGATGGACTTTCCCTCGGCTTCAAGATCGTCCACGTTGTCCGGAGCGTAAGACGTGTTCTGAGCCATGTAAGTGATGGGATCTTCTATCCCGTGAAATGCTTTTAGATGCATCTGTAAACTAGGCGCGACCACAAAATTGTCCCCACACTCCAGACACACCAAACATCGCCCTCTGATTCTATGATTCGAGGCGATATGTTCTCGCAAATTTGTCATATCGGTGCATCGTTGATCACATTTTTTGCATATAAAATTTCCCTCGCTATCCTCTGCCGTTACTTGTTTCACGCATAAGCCAAGACCAGCGAAATTCGCATTTTTCGAATCGCTATGCTTCTTCGGCGTCCATCGTCGTCTTCTTTTCGAATTCGACGAACCACTGTCGGACTTGCGTTTTCTACTACCCAACAGATCCTTGTAGCCGCCGTTAATGAACTCCGAGGATATTCGCAGCAATCTTGGTGTTACTATAGATAATTTACAGTCTTGAGAATGCCTTCTACGAAAATGATCCAATATTACGGCCTGAGATGTATTGATTTGTTCTTTGCACAAGTGACAGGAGAAGTTAAAGATCTCGTTGGGTGCACAATCGAGAGCAAGTCGTTGAGGACGTTTAACGGATCTTTGATTTCGGGAAAATACGGTAGTCTTCCCTGTCCTTGTGGACTGTTCAAGGACCTTGGGCCGATTGGATTCTAAGACGTGTTGCGGAATTCTAGCTAGAGGAGGAGGCCTCGAGATCGATCTGTATTGCACATTTTGCGTATCGATGTACTCGACATCTTTCGTCTTTTCATAAAGCACCAGCTTATTTTTCAAACTATCGCTGATGCTTTCATCCTGTTCAAATTTAGACAAGCTATCTTCTATGCACATCTCGTCTGGTTCAGACTTAATCGGTTGTTTCCCCCATGCGCTACTTATAGTATTTATCTCTTCACTATCCATCTTTATATGTTTCTTCGTTGCTTCGTCGTTCATAGACTTCGAATCGGACAACGTTAAATCGGCGATTGATCTGACGTCGAGTATTTTGGGTATCATTTTACTTGACTGTTGGGACGGTTCAGCTTTAACGTTGACAAGTTTTAGCGACCCTTGAGCGTCGTAAGTTAGATCATCATCCGCTGCTTGAGTTCCGCGTTCGAACACCTCTGACGTGATGGTTCTAGCATTGATAATTTTCGGCATGATCGTTCCATCTTCTTCAGCCTCCGCTTTCGTGTTCACGAACTTGCTTTGCGATGGACTAGTGTTCGGTACATCGGCTGGTAAAACGTTCCATAATACTTCAGGACTGATCAACTCCTTCAAGCGCGAAAGATGTTCACCTTGCAAATGCGACATCACTTGCTTCGCTTCCGCGTTGACGAACGTGCAAAATGGACATTTGAACCATATTAATCTCTGAACGACCGGATGCTTTTCCATGTGAAGCATGTACTCTTCGCAACGCACAATGCATTGCCCGAGTTTGCAAAGGACCAGCCTTATAGGAAGCAGATCGTCCGAGTTCGGATGTTTCTCTCTGTGGTGCTTCCGATATGCAGAGTACGATGGTAAAACGACATAGCACTTGTCGCATGCTATTTTATTGTGACTGTGCATTATCCCGAAATGCCTAGCGATAGATTCCATGTCCTGGAATCCGTTTATTTCGCAAATCTTGCAGCCAAGCACACGTTTTTTCAATGTGTGAAAACAAATGGTCCATGTATGGGCCTCCAATGATTTAAATGCGGTGAATTTACGGTAACAATCGGGACATAGATACGGTTTTTCCTTCTTGTGAAAAGTCTGATGAGTTACGAAACGCATCGAATTGCCTTGATATATGTGACACTTGTGACAAACGTGTCTGTAACACGAACAATAAAGATCGTTTTTGGGAAGTTTTGAAAAGCCTGGAATATAGGAATTGGGTTTCATAATTTTGTTACAGGTTTTGCAAATAAACTTTTCTTCCGTCCGCTCAAATTCCGATTCCCATTCGTGTAGCGGTGTGTCCTCGTTCGTATCGTCGATCTTTTCGCTGCATTTATCGATACAGTGTTTCAGAACGTGTTTCAAAATATCCACAGCTTTCAAGTTTTCTTTAACTACATTTTCGTCCACGAAATTCATTACCCTCAATACCTCGTCGCTGATTTGTTGCAAATGCTCGTATCGTTTCATCAATTCGGGGTAAGGTAAATGAAAGAATTCATTCAACATCTCTTGTTTACACTTTGTTATCATTGTAAACGAGTCAGCGATAGTATGGACCAACTTTTGATTCAGAAACTTTACGTCGAGATACAGATTCTCGTCGTCGCCTTTGTAAAATGATAAAGTTTCACAGGTATTATTCTGATTTTGCGCATTGATATTAACGTCTATATGTTCAACGTTTGGATGAGTGCCCTCAATCTTTTGATTACCTTTCATCATCGAAAAGGATTGCTTTGACTGAATGTCGCAACTAGAACTACTTGACAGTTCTGACGGAGACGGTGAGGGCGTTAAGGGCGACACGTCACCCTGAAGCGAGTTCATTCTCTCTTGATTGGATATATTTTCTAATTCGGTACGATTTATGGGTATTAATGGTGGAATATTATTTACAGATTTTAATTCCACTCTACCTTTCGCTGACATTATTGTATTCGATACGTTTTTGGAATTTTTAGTGGTAGTTGATTGCTTGATAATGTATTTTCGACCGTTCTGGTATATAACTTTACCTGGAAACGATCGCGCTGTACTTTTTGTAGATCCGATTTGATTTTTTAAAGTAGTTTTACTGCTATTTTTATTAGGCAATTCTTTCGATGAATGAAGCGGTATCGCTGGTTTTTTTTGCGACGTCTTCGTATCGTTTTCAAGACCGGCTTCGGCCACTAACTGAACCACCCTTTTAGATGGTAATCCCTTTATTGCCTTATTACTGTTCTTGTTAGGTAATTCGTTTGATGTACCAAATGGAACTACTGCTTTTATTGGCGATACTTTACTATCTTTCTCAACGGAAGTATCAGGAACCAATTGAACTACCTTCTTAGAAGATGATTCTTGTTTGTTATTTATAGTTATAACGTTTGAATCTTGTCCTATAAAAACAATCTTTTTATTGTTAATAATGTGAGACGGTAATTGATTAATAATCGTATTAATATCAACATGCTTTGCACTCTGAAATGTGAAAATCTTTTGACCAGAATTAACGGTTAACGTATGCATGCTTTGTTTTAATTTATCTAACTTGTTGCTATCCGCTACTATTACAGAAGAAGATAAATCGGATTCCTTAGACAATGTATCTGTACTTAAGATATTTTCTTGAATTGTTCTGTTCGATTTTTTCTTCGAATCTGTCTTTAAAGTATTGCTTTTAGCGGTTACTATAACTGGCAATGTACGTTTACGTTTATTATTAAGTTTTGGTGTAATCATTGTATTGCCATATGACATGACCATATCAGGTGAAATGCACTTTGAATCCGAGGCTCTATTTTTTTTCGACTTGGTAGCCACCATATTAGCAATAAAATTGTTTTGTAATGATTTTGCAAAAGCTGTTGTATGTTTTTTCGTATTGCTAGATAGTAGAGTTTCTGGTTCAAAATGTTTTGATGCAGGTCCACAATCCACAAAAGCAATATCATTCGATATACAAGGATTGTCTTCATTTTCAATCACATCTTTATCCATAGATGGAGACCTTTTTCTTTCTAAAGAATCAGTAATATCAACATTTGAATATGTACAGTTACTGTTAGGTGTAGAATAAGAAGAATTGAAAGTAGAAAACTGTTCTTCTATTGGTATTTCTAATGGTTTGAAATAAAATTTGCCTTTATAACCTTTAAGGACAAGACTAATTAAGTCACTGCCCTTCTCTGATTCACTAGCAGCCAATTGCCACCAATAACTATCAATACTGTTTTCCTTTAACCAATCCATTATATGCACTTTCATTATAAATGTATGTTCCATAAGTGCTTCCAAAGTTGTATCTATTTCTGGGTTCCACTCATGATTTACATTTGTTGGTAAAGGCATCAACATTAAGTCACCCATATCTACCACGTTCACATTATGAACTCTCAAATGTGCAAAGAATTGACATTGATTGTAAAAAATCCTAATTGCCCCAAATTTCTGACTCTTATGTAAACCTCTGCTTCGTAAATATGAGCGTTTATTACGTTCCAATTGTACGCATGCAGAACATAATAAGCCTTCTTTAGGACTATGGCCACAAGTAGTTAGAAAACAATGTTGACACCAATATCCCAATATCCAACTTTTCCTTGAAATATGATCTTCCAGACTGTTTCGAAAATGGAAACTAACAAAAGAAAAAATATTTATTTTTAATATATTTATATGCAAAATTATTTCTACATATTACACTAGTAATGATAGGATATTATTTATATTTATTTGATTGCATCAAAGTACTGAGGTAAAGATATTAATGATATCAATAAACTTACCAGTCTTTACATTGTGCGCACATGAGCAATGTTTCACATTCTGAACCATGTTCCTTCAAGGAGAGCGGTGGTTCCTTTGGCACATATGATGGTGCTTGGATTACAAAAACAGCATTTTTTACTGCTGTATAATAATTAACACCCCACTTGGTTTCAATTCTCCGATTTTTTCTTAACTTTGGCATGAGATTCTGTTTATTACATGTCACAGTATTCACAGTATCCTAGAGCCATACGATCCATAAGCATCAAATTGATACTTTAAAATTAAAATATAGATAGAACTTTGGTATTAACTACAGTTATTGCATAATTAATTGTAACATTAAACTCTAAAGTAGTGAAATACTGCTGCTTCTACTTATCCAGCTATACCATATCCTCTACACCATTTATCATGTACTTTTTTATGAGATACATTAAGCACATTACAACACTATGAAATTATACAACACCATATAAATTCTATCTACAATTGTATTATTAAATCTCACCATTAATTACACTCGCTGTATATATCTTTTACATTATACAATGTACTTAAACAAGTCAACAAATCATTCTTTATCAGAAAACCACCATTCAGCCATAATATGTTTTGCTGTTTTGCAACCCGTCGGTAAAACAGAACATACGGAGCTGCCGTCGCGGCAAACGATTGAAGCAATATTAAGAAATTCAGCACCATACACGTAAAAACTAGTACAATATTTTACAGTATAATTTACTTAACATCTTCAGTTAATATATGCAAACCATATTATGTTATAATACTGCTAAAAGATATTAATATCTTTATCAAGGTTGAATACAATTATGTTCTTAAGCCATCTTGAAACAGTAGTATCCAAGTATCCTCTTTAATGTAAGATCCTGCAAACATACATAAGAATTACTATGTTTCATGAAATAAACAACTAAATGTATTCTTTTCACATATAAATATTAAATACATCAATACTGTATGTTACTAAACTCCTTTTACTGTGCAGTATATGTGACACATATACTATTGTAAATTTTACAGACACTTCTTACTTAAGTAATAAACATAACAGTAAATTGAAGAGATCACAATACTGGACAGCATCCACTGATCATAACTTATTGATTACATTTATTATTAAGTATTCTGTATATTTAGAATTTTATTAGATGAAATATTTGTCCATAAATCTATCTCCATAGACTGGTAAATTTATTTTTTATATGTCATGATTCTTTTTCATACCAGGGATATACATTCACATTGATAATCAATGTTTAACTCAATTTTCTTTATTACTGTATAACTAATTTTTGATGTATATATGTATACCATAATGACTGAAAAATTACATTTTTTACTCTTTTAAGAGTAACATTCTTCCTTCTGTAAAAAAAAAATTGTACAATTTGGCAATAATTTTTCTTTGAAGAAGCAAAATTTGCCTCAAGGATAGTGTCTAAATATCTTTAAATAATCTAAACTATATTAACAAATCAATAATCTCTTCATAAAAATCTAGTTTTACTGAGCTATAATTTCTTTTGACAAAATTGTTCTGTAGAATCATTGAAACAGTAGCATTAAATACCAACCACAAGTATATGTATGTACCAAATTTGAATAACATCCACAAAAATCTTTTGTACATAAATAAATATATATACTTTTAATCAGTTATACATATAACATTTTTCATATTTTATAACATAATTGATTTCAAGTAATAGAATATTTTTGATAAAATTATTCACAATATTATTATAATTCAATGCAGGTACAAAAGATTGTTATTTGTTGCAAGTAAAACTTTTATTTGGAATTTCTAACCTATAGATAATTTTTTACAGAGAGCGCTACTTGTGACTGAAAGAACAATGTAGTAAAAAGTGAAGTAATATAACAATACATTCTACTTGTTTAAAACGTAACATACATACAATATAATCAAAAGATTTATGAACAAATGCTCTTAGTATTTTTCATATATAATTTTCTAATTCATATGAAGATATACTTTATGCATTTATAAGTTTTAAGAAGGGTACATCAAGTTATAAAATATTGTAACCTTATGTATATTATAAAATGAATAAATTTCTAATTCATATATAAATAATACATGTATAAAGTAAAACATTTTCACATCTATTTACAGATGATTTACAGGTCTAGGATATTTTGTGTACAAGTAACCAGCCTGAATTCTACCAACATATTATTGTACATGTACCTAGCTAAAATGTACGCATGATCAATCCTTCGTGCGGTAGAGTACTAACCGCTGAAAGAACGATCGTCGAAGGCAAAGTAGGTTGCGCAATTAGACAAAATGTCGTTCTATCGGTTTAATTCTTTTACTGGTCGCTTAACACAAGTTTCACAAAATCAAGCTCTTAATCCATTAGTAAGTAATTAATTATAAAATATATATTTTATCCATACCGTAGCTAAATGTTCGATATATTATTAAGCTTTCTAGTGAACTTTTAATACATGTTCTGCTAAATACGTTCATGTTCATTTTACAATCGTTCTTATTTTATTTCTATAACACACAGTATATTGTACTTTATAGAATGACGGTCGTGAAATACTATATTCAGTTCTTTAATAATTGGCAACTGTCCTTTTTGAGTTACAACAAACACGTATAGGGAACTTATGACCATTTATGTAACATGCATTATCAAGAAAAAGGCAATTTAAAAAATAATTGTTATAAAATTGCAACATGTTGATCATATAATATTTTAATAAATTAAGAATAATTCCATTTCAAACATGCCAATTATTTTATACTGTAATGATGCTAATTGTTTAGATGCTACAGTTCTATTGATAATAATAACATTTTAATAGATTTATGTTTGTATTATAGGCACCTAATAAGTTACAAACTACAGAAGTACCAAGCTTAATTTATGATTCGATTAAAACTAAGCCAGTACAGACAGCTGTTAGAAGACATAAATCCACATTACATCCTAGGATGGAACAATTATATAAAAAATTTCAAGTAAATATGTCTTATACTATATTAATAATATATAATATGTAACACATATAGAGATTAACATTCAAATGTATATTTTACAGGAAGATATGACAAAACCATCATATCTTTTACGTGGTACATCAGATCTAATAATTTTCCGTATTTGTGTTGCATTGACTACAATAAGTCTTGGGTTTAGTGCTTATTACTTTATTGAACTGAAGAAAAAATTCTAATGGAATTAAAAGAATACATAATTGTAATATAGATATTTGTAGGGTAATATATATTATACAAGTTGTATTATTACTTCATTAATTGGAAATCATAAATAAATGATTAAAATTACATTTTAGTATTTTTATTCTTCCCTCAAATTTATAAAAATTAATAGGTAAGTATTTATGTATACATCTAGATCCTAGAGATTATATCATATCTTGCAAATTTAAAGTACAAGTCCAGTGACACAAATTGTTTTACATAGGCTAGAGATATAGATCTCTTTGGTGGGTTTACATTTTGTTATGGTAGGGCTCCATCTGGTAATTTTATTTCTGTAGATGTTCACTACCTTATCGACATTCGCCACATTAGCAAAAATCACTTCAGAATATCAACACAACTGTCAACTACAAGAATATAACAATGAGCTAAAAATTCATTAATCGAAAATGGATGAAAATATAGTTCCAACTGTGGTTTTTCATCCAATTATTTCTTCAATTCAAAAAATCGCACTTTATGAAACAAAATCTGTAAGATTATATTTAATTAAGTTTTTAAGTAGTTTCAGAAATAATATACAATTCTTTTACAGAGATTTTACTTGATGGGTTCCAATAATACTTTAACGCGGTTTCGCGTATTAAAGATTGATCGAATGGAACCTAAAGAATTAGTTGTTGTAGATGATAAACGAGAATATACTCAGGATGAAATTAAAGATCTTGTAAATATGATAGATATGGGGAATCGTACCAGAGCTGGACAAAGAAACAATGTTGGTGGAGTTGCAAGGATTGTTTCAGCTTTTGGTATTGTTGGTAAGTCATGTTAATATTTATACTTTTTAATTCTTAATATTATAAACTGTAAATGCATGTAGGTGTTTCTATAGTATAAGACATTATCAAATTTTTATGTAATCATAAACACCCGCATAATTGTACGCAACTGTTACGATATATACATATTTTTTATTACCATGTAGTACTGTTAAAGGTATAATTAAAGTTTTACAGTTTTGCATGTTTTTTACTTCCTAATTGCATGTTTAATACTAAGCACAATTATTGCTAAAACTTATACAGAACTTAGTTTCCTTATATTTGCTTGCTAACAAAGGCAACATTTACAAAGAACCTACATCTGACAATGGTGTATCAGAAGCATCTGAACACCAAACATGTCAAAAACCATTGCACAAACCAACTCAAACTAAATTCACCTGGAAAACGATGTGGCAGAGAGACACTTTTCCTCGACTAGTACCAGCTTTTGGTCTTCTTGGTAAGGACCACTGAGTTTAATATTCAAAATTAAATAACATATTTGAATTAAAGCAGTTCAATAAAGAATTTTCAATTTGTAAAAGTAATTATGAGTTGTGTACACATCAAAATATTTATTTGCTCTAGTACAGCAAATGTAATAAACATAACTTGAATATGCCATTGGTCATTCTCTGTGACATCTCTATACTAAATTATCGAATTGGAAATTTTATACTATTATAATTGCGATAAATCCATATCCAACAGAGTTCAATGTTAAATATTGCATCAAATATAAACATACCATATTTAAAATATTACAAAATGTGTATGTTTTTAGCGTGATGTAATTTTCATCATATTTGCATGCCATTTTACCTAATTATGGAGATAAGCATGTTATATATTTTCACTATGCATTAAATGTTAATAGAAATATTCCACAGAAGTTACAAGGATATTAAACATATATAAAATACATTACAATTTACTTGTTTCAATAAAGGATTTTAATGTAATAGCTCAATTCTTTGTGGTAGGGTTTGTACGTTTATTGGAAGGATATTATATAATATTAGTCACAAAACGACGCAAAGTGGCTGTAATTGGTCATCATACAATATATAAAATAGAAGATACTTCAATGATTTATATTCCAAATGATAATGTTCGTGTTTTTCATCCTGATGAACAAAGATATGTAAAAATGTTTCAAAGCATAGATCTTAGTAGTAACTTTTACTTTAGTTACTCATATGATCTGACACATACATTACAAAGTAATATGTCTCCACCAAAACATATTAAACCTGATATTTCTACTACTGATGACAAAAAACTAAATCAGAAAGATAGTAGTGAGACTGAAGATGCAGAAGACTTTTTTAACATGTGGGCGTTTAAAAAGAATTATCAGACTAACAGGTTAATCATGATATTTAAACATTACATTTTTTCTCTAGTTCAATACTAAACTTAATAACTCTTTAGTAATATAGAAAAATATGTCGATTATGGTGTACGAAGTAATCCGAATCGTCGATTTGTGTGGAATTCTCATCTATTGAAACCAGTAGAGAAAGATTTACATCGCGACTGGATTTTATACATTATACACGGTTTCATTGGTCAATCAAATGTTAGTATTTTTGGACGATCGATGTATGTAACTATTATAGCTCGAAGGAGTAATAAATATGCGGGTACCAGATTTTTGAAACGTGGCGCAAATTTTGATGTAAGGGCTGTCAAGTAACTTTCGATTTCGACTTTAATCATCTATTATATTAAGACGTAATTTTGTAAAATCAGGGAGATGTTGCTAACGAAGTAGAAACAGAACAAATTGTACATGATTCTGGAGTAAGTTCCCTAAGCAAAGGTCGATTCAGCGCTTTTGTTCAAATGCGTGGATCAGTCCCTGGACATTGGAGTCAAGATGTTAGCAAAATGGTTCCTAAACCTACTATTACTTGTGATTTAGCTGATCCATATGTGGAAACAGCAGGTAAATGGGATAAAAAATATTAAAATAATTTACACACATGTGGTTAAATATATATTTAAAAATTTCAGGTGCACATTTTAATCAGTTACTAAAAAGGTATGGCTCTCCAATAATAATTCTTAATCTTGTTAAAAAACGAGAAAAAAAGAAGCACGAGAGTACTTTAAGCGAAGAACTATCCATGGCTGTAAAATATTTAAATCAATTTTTACCTCCAGAACATCATATTCAGTATATAAGCTTTGATATGGCTCGAATGAATAAAAGGTATAATTATCGTTACCGTACGTTATTTTATTATTCGTTCGAAAGTATTCAATTTAACGGTATATTTCGTTCTTTAGGAAGAAAGTTAATGTTATGGCTCGATTGGGTAATATAGCATATAATGCTGTTTTGAAAACAGGTATTTTTCAATCACAAAATCCATATTACAGCCAAAGAAATTTATTTCTTTCCCAGTCTAATCACGTCAAAAAACCTCATAAAGCAAACGTAAATACAGTATTACCATTTAACACATGTGACGTTCAAAGTTCTAAAAATTTAATAAATGAAAACTTATCTTACAATCATAATACTGATTCTAAACATACTGCAGAAAATAAGTATAATGAGTTAAGTTGCATTGAAAGCAAAGTAAGACAATGCTTTGGTAAAAGAGGTACACTACAAACGGGAATTATTAGAACTAATTGCGTAGATTGTTTAGATCGCACAAATACGGCTCAATTTGCGATAGGAAAATGTGCTTTGGGATTTCAGTTATGTGCTTTAGGGGTATTGGAATCTCCTAAACTGGAATTTGATTCCGATTGTGTAAGGATGTTAGAGGAATTATACGAAGATCACGGAGACACATTAGCGTTACAATACGGTGGTTCTCAATTAGTGCACAGAATAAAAACTTACAGGTACAGTTACAACAGCAACATATTTATAGCAACTGTAAAAAAACGCTTCATTTATGATTTAGAAAAACTGCACCATGGACTAGTCAAGGCAATGATATTATGCAGACCCTGAGTAGATATTACAGTAATACTTTTAGCGATCAAGAAAAACAACATACAATTAATTTATTCTTAGGTAAGCAAGTATATGTATAACCGTACAAGTAAGGATAGAGTAAAGTCATTAAGTCAAATTTATATTTTACAGGTTTGTTTGTACCCGAGGAAGGGAAACCACCGATTTGGGAGCTTTTAACAGACTATTATCTTCACCATAAACCCGCTTGTCAGTATTCTAGGAGAACGAAGCTCCTAACTCAATGGTGGGATAGCAATGTATTAAAATGTCTTCCTTATGCATTGAACGAAGTAACAAAATCGTGTTCGGAAATGATACAAGTACAGAATTCAATGGAAGAAATGATCGATGTTTACTACGATTATCATAGGTACCAATTATATAAAAATTTGTACATTTTGGTAAAAATGACTTGATCTTATTTATGTTTATAGACCATACGAATTATCTCTACTTTCGGAAGTTTATGCGTATCAAATTAGCCATTCCGTTAGAGATTTTATGCCACATTTCACAACGAGTTTTAGTCCATTTGCGGTACGAGTACGGCCAGGTAGAAGAAGGGAAGAAACTGGTAATAAAAATTTAAATATGAAAAATCCTTCTATGACTGGGCAAAGTAGTACCAGTAGTACAACGTCGAGTGCAAGGTATTATATAATTTGAATTAAAATTTGTGTAATTTTTTGAAAATTAATTTGACAAATTATTATCGTCTGAAGTTCTAGCGGCGACTCAAGTTCAGACGATGACGAAAGTCACCAACATGCTAATGATTACCAATTAATTACTTCTAAAGAAAGTTCAGAATTCACGTCTTTTGAGACACTGTTTCCATCAATGAAAGAAGTATATGGAACACGACCTGAATATCCTAAGAGGAATGATATCATACTATACAAAAAGTAAAAATGATGCAGATACTTATATTACAAATTATACAGAACATCATTTTTACGTAAACTTCTTTTTTCCTACAGATATGTATTAATTGGGCGTAATGCAACGTATCCGTCGGAATACATGAAACTTCGTTCAAAATTTATTCAACAAGCATCATTTTCGGAAGTTATACCTCCTGTAGTTACATTACCGATAGTAAAAAAATCTAGTATAAATATATACGAGCAATATGTCGAAAGAGCCAAGGTAAGTCTGTACAATGTATAAAGAACAACTTGTGGTCCTATTATTTTCTTTAACAAAATTTTGTATTATTTAGACTGGTGGTTCGATACCGAATGTGCAAGACATGAATTTATATGAAACTTATACAAGACAGCACCAGTTACTTAAAAAATCTATATATTCACACTAATTATATATGATATTTGTAATATACACTGTAAATAATGTATAATAAAACAAAAAACAAATCTGCAGAATTACTCTTTCATGTATATTTTATTAAAATCAAATGTAAGATATACATACATTTGCAAAATAACCGGAGAAAACTGGAACGTATAGTTTACTTTAGCTTCTTCTTTGGGCGAATATTATTTGTATGTCCGCATTTCTTTTTACGGCAATTGGTTGCACGTGGATGAAGACGGGCATAACATTTTCTGCATATCATTTTGTCACAGTTGTATTTCTGTGCAAGAATACGAAGAGTAGGTTCAATAACACCACCACGAAGTCGAAGTACAAGATGTAAGGTAGATTCTGTCAAAAGTATAAGCCAGTGATTAAACATGTTTCATATTAAAGTAAGTTTATGTAAAATTTTATGTTACCTTTCTGGATATTATAATCAGAGAGGGTACGTCCATCTTCTAATTGTTTTCCAGCGAAAATTAGACGCTGTTGATCAGGTGGAATTCCTTCTTTATCTTGAATTTTAGCTTTTACATTTTCGATGGTATCAGACGCTTCTACCTCGAGCGTGATAGTTTTGCCCGTCAAAGTTTTCACGAATATCTGCATCGTGGCGTACCTAATTCGTAATTCAAAATCGTAAATGTAACGTGTTTCGTACTCAAAAATATGGTTCTAGTGTTATGACATTTATTTGACAATACTGTTCCACTTTATAATGCTCTATGTTAATACTTTCCCTGAATTTTACTATTTTTAATAAAAAATTTAATAAAATATGTGAATGTAACTAGAAAATTTTAGAGCGAACATTTCGTTTAGAGACGTGTTTTCTAGCAACGTATCGTGTAGCACTTGTTTATGAAACCCTTTTGTTTAACTCTTTGATTAGGCAAGATTTTCATCAACAACATTTATATAACTAACTTCAAGTTAACAAGGAAAATGTTACGAAAATATTAATGCCACAAACATATATCAAATCATGTAAATTTAAAAAGATATTAAATTCTTACCGCTTGTGAAACGTGCTCGCCACAGAAATCCAACCTAAAGAGGTTCTATGGTGGCAGCACAGTAACTTCCGTTGATACTTGTATACGGATACATCTGCTCCCTAGCGGCGAATAGTTAAATCATTTCAAATAAAAATACACGCGCAAAAGTATAATTTTTATTTTACACATTTCATACAAATGGTACATATGTATTTTAAAACGCAAGTATAAAGTTTCAAATTTTTAAATTGCTCCTTGGTAAACTAACGAGAATCCTGGAAGTTTCAAGTTCGCTAGGTACTGCACAGATTTAATTTACGATCTCGCTGTATCTTGGCGGATACTATACTCATGCATCCGCTGTATATGTTTATGTCCATGCACATATACAGCTTTCTCGAGAACACGGTGATACTATGCCTCGGGACTCGGCTGTATGCAAATTTCAGCAGTAACCCTTAAACTTTACACTCTGACCTAGATACTTACCTGCCTAAAGGCCTCGCAATTAAACGTGTTTTACAGCTTCCTGCTGGAATAGACTTGCACTCGACGCACGCACGGATTTATCGCTTAATCTCGATCGAGTTACGCATTTTAAACAAGATTTCCCTTAATAAAGACGAAGAGAACCGTAATTAAATCGGTGCACATTCGAAGACTCCTGTGGCAGGACATAATCGGAACAGATAGTACAAATAACTTTATTCGCGAGAAAATAAAGTGCTCTAATATTTTATTCTCAGAAGATAATTCAGCGGTAAAGAGATCTAAGAATTGAGATTCAGAGAAGTGTAGCGATATTTCGCGAACAAGACGATAACCGTAGATCCTAGAATAATTGAAGAAACGATCGTTTTTATCAACTTACTAGCGGTAGCACGAATAATTCGACGAATTTTGTTCAGATATATTCGCATCCTCACGATTTCTCGCGGGTATACGTCCCGTGAATGTGTTCCATAAACTCGAATGAGTTTCGCGATACTTTGAAGAGGTATAGGAAGTTTTATGATACTCTGCCGCCTTGAATGCCTTTGCATTCGTTGAACGAGAATCCCTTTATATCACCAAAGTCGTCGCGGGACGGCGCGTTACTCTGTAAGCTGGTAGATAAGAAGAAATACGGGAAGAGAGAAGCGAAGAAAATGCGTAAAACGTATCATAAATTTCGCGGTGGTAGCGGACAGGCTTTGAAACCGCTGACGCAGCTTGATCTACGTATTTACTTGTAACGCATCGGTGAGCAACACTTGTTGGCTGAGAACGCGGCGCCTCGCGACGAATAGAAAGCTATCAACCTTTTAATCGGCAAAGAAGATTCAATGCAATTCCATCTTTCGATATGATTCCCCTTCCATTCACCCAGAAGTACGCGTTTACTTATTTTTCGCGTTCAGAGCGTTTCGCGGATCGACGAAATAACGAAGCTGCATTGTAACTCGTTCCCAGATTGTTATTTCAAGTAGCTTCGATTTTTGTATAACGATACGAAGAAATTACAATTTTCAATGGAAATACCAAGTCGAAGTTCTCTCGTTAAAAATCTGCTCATCGCTTCCCGTGCATCCGCGAACATATCTCGATTCGTTGCATCGATCAACCGCGTAGTAGGAAGTTGTTTCGAGTTGTTGAGCTGTAATAAAGTTAGGCGGAGTCTCAGGGCTATTGTGGAAATTGAACGTTAACTGGATTTGGTTTTAGATGGGCTGGTTATGGCCGAGAATGCGAATTACGCGGGCTTCAGCGGTGCGCGCGAAATGGAATAAATGTTAATAGGAATATACGAGAGCGAAATTCCTGACGTACCGTTGTAACTCATCGAGGTCACGCTTCGACGATGATGTCATTTATGAAAAATCGATTTTAATCGCGCCAAAGATAGTAAACGAAATTAAAGCGTTACTGGATTCCATAATTCGATCGTTCGCAAACAAGCAGCACCGAAGCAAACTGATCGATACATCTGCGTTTACCTTTAACGGCTGATAAACTTTCATCCGAAATAATTTGCAGTTATCGACGGGTAGATTTTTTTGTTCTGGAAACACCTTGCGTTCACTGTCGTGCAAATGCACAATGACTGTTTTATAGCCGGGCTATTGGGAAGTAGACGGAACGATGTCGACATGGAAACACTATAAATTCACAGGAAAGCCCGACAGGTACGTTCGAATCCGTATTGTGCCTCTGACGTTCGCGAATAGCCTTTATTTACGAGAACTATTGGTCCAGTTTTACCCTACTATTTACCTACTCCTTCCGAAGAACAGCGGGTGTCCAACGCAAACGGCACCCATCATCTCTCTGATGACCCGATCTCGTCGTTTCTGAACGCAATTGTTGTTACAGCAATTGCCACTATGACACTCGGTCGCTTGTCCATTAACGGATATCTGTATTCCATGTTCGGTCACGATTTCCATTTACACACGTTGCACGCCATGCCCTTATCCTTAAACGTACGAATTGAACGATCCGAATCTAACCATGTACCGTTCCTGGGAATTTCGTGGGAAGGATCAATCAAATACGATACTTGCCCGTTTATTCGGCTCCGACGAAAATTTGTTCCGATCTAACTGGTTCGTTAACGAACACCTTACGGCAAGACGGCGTATTCGTTAGAATAGTTAACAACTATGACAAGGATCACGCGCAGATATCACCCTGGGGCAAGCAAGCTACGTTAACGTTTACGTTAACGAGAACATGGAACTTGTACTTCCATCCTACGAAGCGTTTACGCACTTCCCTTACAATTTGTTTCAAGTACTTCTGTTCGAAAGTTATTCTTCAATTATCGTTCCAATTATCTTCTAAAAACACGTATTACGAGCGAGTTGGTCGCGAAGAATGATCGAAGAAATTCGAAATAAAAAACATCCTCTTGAAGAACAAAACAGAGATATTAAGGTATCGTTACATTTTGTAGACGTCGCTTGTCATTTCATACACGTTTGAACTGAATATTGAATAGCGTGATCAGGGGTAGTAATCTGTCTGTCGCCTTCAATTTCACCGTATCGTGGCTGGCATAGGATATCCATCAGATCAATGAGACCGTTGATCGGTGTCTTTATCCTAGCCACGTAGGCAGGTGGGTTTACCCCTGAGCAAACTAATAATGGAAAAGCTGGCGCGAGTTAGTAAGATCATTAAACTGCACGGGCCGCGTTGTACAGGAGTTGGAATTAAAGTCCAACTCTAAGGTGAACTCGTTCAACTACGGTTAACCTTTCATGACACTTTGACCTCGACTTGTACGCGTTTCGAACCAGCCGCGGATGGAAGTCTGGTTTCTCTGATCGAAAGTCGAATTATCGATTACTCTGAACTAGCAGAGCCTAACATTTTCCCGCAATCTTTTCTACCTTTTCATCCCGTTTTGCTCTTTTACTTGGCCTCTTCTCACGGGATCGCTACTACGTCGACCGGCTCCGCTTCTCGCTCAACGGAGAATCGGAGAAGTGCAATTAAAAGTTGTTACCGAGCTGGCCCGAAACGAGGTTTAATCGCGGTTGTGCTTCTTAGCCGTAATTAGACTTCATTGACGAACGAACGAATCTCTACTTTCTTTTATCTTCAACCATGATCCGACTCGCAAGCTTCCGCGTAATTTATCATCCCGTGTCTGTTACTCGACTCGTCAAGATCCGCTTTTGATTGCGAGCAAATTGTTGTTTATCGAGAACATCGACCGGATATGCAATTTGCGTTTCTTCGGCAAAACGATCGTGACGCGATATGCGGTTAGTAAAATTTCTGTGCTATAAAATAATTAGAAGAGAAGAAATCCGAAGCATACGTTTTTTCGAAATTAAGATGCTACCGACTAGCCACACCTCGTAGCATCGGCACAGGTGCTTCTAGCATAACACAAATTCTCGTATCGTAAAGTTTATAAGCTAAACTTGTCCGATAAGAAACTGACGAACTCTCAGAATTTTATCGACGCTTCCGCGAAATTTATATTTGCTTACTTACAGAGGCAAAATGTAGGTAATTCTTTTCCCCTCTCCGGTAATAACTTCAGCGTTCTCGTACATCGGCGGGGCTACGATAAAAGAACCACAAAATGAGTATGAAATGCTATTGCGATCCAAGATAAAACTTTTCCATCAAAACCCCCTGCTATTCACCCTCTTCTCCCTTCTGTTCCGTTCTTCGATACCCCCATTCGTATTTTGCTCGGTCAGCCGATTCCGTGACCCGTCGATTCTCATCGGTCTAAATCGGCGCTCGACTTCTCTTTCTTTTTTTCTTTTTCCTTTATTTATCCTCTTCGACGTAACCAGCCACGGTAGCCATTTTTTCCTTATTATACGAATTTCCAGGATCGAAAACAAAGCATGTAATACGAAGAAAATTTTCCCTATCTCCGAGGACCTTTGCTTAGCAGGATCTGTTCGGTGCAGAGACGGATAAATAGTTTACGATCGAAGTTTGTTAAACATGCAATAGAGGGAGATGCGGTAGAGGAAGAGATATATGGAGTTGGACAGAAACACAGGATCGTATAACGCGTCCTCGTACAGGTACGGGGAGTAAACGCGATGGCGGCGAATGGCAGAATTTTTGGCCTGTATGGAAAGGAGACATCTGAAAGAGGGTGTGGGAGAACGAGGAGTGTCGATGATACGCGTTACACGAATACACGTGTGCGCGTGATGGATAGATGCACGCAGAGGATATCGAGAGGCAGGAGGGACGTGCAGTTTCGAATGCGGTAGGTGCAACCGTGCAGGTAGGACACGCAATGCAGTTTCGTGGAAATTAGGTCAGCGAGTTTTCGGGTTAGACAGAGAGAGGATGGAAAGGGAAGAGAGCAGCGCGTCATGTCAGTGCAGGGAAGAAAGAGAAAACGCGAGAGGGAGTAGAAGAGCTAGTCGAGCAGGCAGGGTGGTTTGGAAGGGGAAGAGAAGTAAATGAGAAAGAGAAAGATGGATTGACGGAAGGAGAGAGAGAAAGAGAGAAAAATGAGCGCGTAACCAGAGGGTTGCTGGACCGGGGTTAGAGGTTGTCGTCATCGTGGTGGGTAGAGGAGGGTTGCCGCGAGATATCGTGGATCAGACCGCACCGAGAGAAGGACATCGTGCCTCTCAGAGGCACGGTAGGG